AAATGAAGAGCATGAGGGCTTTGGCTTGCAATTGCTCGGAACGGTGTGTATAGCCCATGCAGACCTTGTCTCGCTCAATCCGCAGTCGTCAACACTGCTCCTAAAGTCCTTTAGTGCCTTTTTTGAGGGTACGTGATCAAGTCAGGACCCTGGAAACAGCCATACCATCAAACGGCATTTTGTTTGTGGATACCATTTGAATGTTCGTGCGTTCTAAGTTAGTGTCCGCCACTCAAGGGGAAAATTTCTGCTCATCTCATGAGCGGCGATGTAACTGGAGGTTGCGAAACTAATGGCGATCCCGAAACGCAATGATCAAAACTTCCGAGGCATATTGCGGCTGGGAGGCTGTCGATGTTTGCGCACTGGTCAAGTCTATCCGGGCTCTTGGACACTATTGCACAACGAGACTCATGGCTCGACGATGCCGAGGGATTGCGATAGGAATGGGGGGTGGGGCAAGCGCGCTCAATACAATTGATGCCGCTGCTTTCATATTCCTGATACAGCAATTACCTTAGACCCTGATGCCAGCGGCCTCTTAACGCTGACTCGCCCTTGCGTCATTCTATCATCCCGAAGCTCGCACTTTTAGACTGAGGCGTGGAGATAGCTTCACCGGTCATGGCAAGCCTTGCTACAACTCTCCATAGGAGTGGGTTGATTCCTAGGCAGCAAGAGCGGACGTTTGAATGCGAGTAAAAATGAGGACTACTGTCGCAAGAGCCGTTGGTCGTCCAAGTTGAGTTCTGGCGGCAAGCCAAAACTGAGGGACCACCGCGCAGGGATCATCATGAGCTCTAGCCTCCCGAACGAGATGGCAGCAGTTGAAACCGATGAAGATTTAAGATCTAAGTAAGTCTGGATCTTGCAACTAGGACGTTTTTTCGACTATAGTGTATGTAGTGCCATTTCGTTACGAAAACCAAGCCATACCTTAGGCGGCTGGACCGGATTTTCGACTCAAAGGAAAGTTCGTGGCTGCGTTCGGAATGGTAGTAGCCTTTTTCGTGAGGTGGAGACTCACGGAAGATTGATATGGAGACCTAACATCAAGGATCCAAAATGGCAGGACCAGTCGGAGTTTTCCAGGGTCCGGAGTGTAATTACGTATGGGCAGAAATGAGCTGCTTCCGAACCTAACGTAGCATTGCTGGTGGATGTCTGCTGACGGAACAATTGTGTGTTTGGACATAACAAATGGCCGCGGCACTCGATTGTGGCCCAGCAAAGGTTGATAAAGGAGAGAGGTGGATATTGGCTGACAGGTCGCGTGTGATCCCCCAAGGTGAATTTAGGCCGTCCAGACATACAGAGTACAGTTTACCGATTGAATGGGCGGTGGACATGTAAGACAAGATTGTGCTACATTTTGGCTCTGGATGCAGCATGCCACTGGCACTTGGCATAATGGCTGCGATGAACTCCTGTCAAAAATTCATCTGATGGTCGCCCAGAACACTTGGACGTTCGCATCAGCAGTGGCGATCCATATTATGAAGGGGAGAAATTGACTCCAGGTACATGCCAAATCGTTGTATGAGGTGAATTTACCTGTGACTCTGCTCTGACCGTTGAGCTTGGGCGTCAGCAGCTGCTTTTTTTTTTTTTTTTATCAAGCTTGCTTCTTCCTGTTCATGTGCTCTCACAGCGAGGCGAGCTGCATCGGTCGGTTCGGCAGGATATGGACGGCCGGGGCAGCGCGGTACCACCGTCAAAGACAACGCTCGAGCCTTGGTTGCAGGTAAGCGAGGGGTGCTTTGGCGTTTGGGTGGTGCTGTCAATATTTGACATCGTTAAGTCAAAGCTTCGCAGGTTGGGAACCAGGGTTAAGAGACCGATCACCAAATCATGATAAGGAGTTGGTACGCTGTGTGTCCGAGCCATTCCCGATTCCGGATGTTTGGCCGGTTGGTACCTTCTGCTCATCAATGACGACCAAAGAATAGGCCATGCATGGCGCGTCTAGAGAGACCCAAAAGGTCTCTGTTAGGACCCGCTGAGAGATCTTTTTTGCAACATGGCAAAGTGTGCTCCGGGCCCAAGTGCCTCATCTCGAGTCTGCTCCGCTTGGTTTGTTTCTTCCATGGCATCGGTGGCGGCATATCTTTTGCGCTGGAACATGGGGGCTGTTTGCAAAACAAAGAAAAAGCGACAGGTCTGACTGATATCAAGAGCGGCCAGTGGGTGTCACCCTTCACTGGCAGCACCAGCTGACAAGGCATACGAGGGTTGCACACAGTCACGCAAGGCGAGGAAGAAGCTATGCTAATAGTAAGGCAGTACGGAGTAGTCTCGGCCGGGATTGGTTAAGGACCAACGCTTTGAAGTTGAGAGAACGTCGCTGGGTAGCCCGAGGACCCAAAATGTGGAGGGCCGTTACAATTCAAATTGCATGCCTGGTTATGGAGAACTGGTGACATTTTCCGTGGATGACTAGCAGCTTTGACCTCCGAGTTCAAGGCCTTGTCCCCGCAAAAAGAGCATGGGTCGAAACAAGAAAGAGAGGAATAGGAAAAAAAAAATAAGAAATAAAAACCTGGCAAAATGAAAACCAATCAGTCGTATTGTACGGATGAAGAAAAAGAAACGAAACGAAACATTGTGATAAGTCGGCGGCGAGGCAGCTGCATGCATGCATAGAGGCGCTGCGGGAAAGGAACCGGGAGGTCTAGGCGAAATGACATGAGCGTCCAAAGGCAAGGGAAACCACAGACGTGATTGGGAGAAGGAAGGCACCTCAGTCCATGGTCACTTACATTTGCAGCTGTAGTTGCCGTACCTCTCAGACGGGCTTGTTCTGTCCTGCAAGGTACCTGCTTCCTGCCGGTGCGACAAGCCTCTCTAATTACTGCTCCTAAAGATGCTCCTTACTCGATCCTCTACGTTACCATAGTTTCCAACGCTCATTCCCGAGGCTGGACCCATGTCGTGTGCAGTGGCTCTTCCCAAGTCCCCTCTCTTCCTTCCTTCATCATTAATAATACACTCGTATGTCATTTTTTTTTTCCTGTTCTCCTTGATATGGGCAAGTTCAGAGTCACACTCTGCGGAGCTGTTGCCGTTGTTGCGCTTTGGTAGAGGGGTCTTAAACCTTGTGGCTTCCCGTTTCGGGCTCAAATGGATGTACTTACTCTTAGTTTGGTAACATTGGTCTCTCCTCCCTCCTGCCTTCTGACTTCGCTGTCTGTTCGGTGTTGTCGAGTCCAGTTACCCGGTGGTGAAGGGTCGCTCCTGCCCTTGATGATGGGGATTATCAGTGCCACTGCCCTCGAGAAACATGGCCAGTCACAACGCCTGTGGGGCCTTCATAATCCCTGTTTGGCCATGAGAGCGTCCCCTGTCGTTTTCGCAGCACTCCCACCCACATCCACTGGAAAAGTCCGTAGAGTCTTTTTACAACTCCATCTATGGCTTAGGGCGCCCCACTCCACCTTCCCACCTTCAGTCGCCTCTCCCGCCCGCGACTAACCCCCGGCCAGCGCCTTCCCTAGGACGGAAACGCATTTGGCGCTACCTGGTAGCTAGATGTGGACTGTTCGGTACGTATCTCTCGGTAAAGTAAGGTACCCAGGTATCCGTAGCTCTATCCACGAACTAGTCCAGCCCCAGCTTCTGTACTACACTATACCTTGGTCCCGACCTAACGCACGACACTTTTTTTTTGAACTATTATCCCGTACGCCCTTTTCCACCCACTCCCGCTCCTGCTCCTACGCCCGGCCGAACTTCAGAGTAACTACCTTACATCAGAAAACCCCCCCAAGTCAGAAGACATCCAAGACAGACAACAAGCCACATCTCTCAAGTGCATCTCCCGTCTGCTAGATGGCACCTTGACATAGACCTGGACCTGGCCTTGGGCCCAAACCTTGACCCGGCGTGGATCTGACCACACCCTTTCTGTCACTTCGCGGGCCACGCTCCCTCGGTCTTTCACCCCCCTCAGCCCTGACTGTCTACAAGTTTCAACACGCCTCCAGCATCTAAAAACCTTCACTTGTCCAGACCCTTCAAAGACCGTGTCCCTCCTTTCGGCTGCGTGCTGATCTTCGGTCAACTCTTATTCTATTTTATTATTTTAATCACAAGACTCCGAGATATTCATACCTTGGTTCTCAGCTGTTCGGCCTTCAAATTGGCTTCATCCTGTCAGCTCCTCAAGGACACAGCGCGTTTCTTTCCAGCTTTATTTTTTTTTCTTTTTTCCTCCGTTGGTCTTATCTTACCTTAGTGTCTCACTACTTCTCCTCTACTATCAACTTTTCTTCTTTTGACAGGAGAGAAAAAAAAAACACTGGCCACTCTTACAAAACCCAGCCTTCGGTCAATTTCGAGCCAGTACGCAAACGGAGCCTATCATATATATTGCGATTATTTCGCCTCGAACGCTGTCTCACCGAGGGTCATACAGCCTCCATCGTACAAGCACTACCTTCCACCAATCGCCCCACGCCTTTCTCGATCAGGGTCTTTTGTGTCACCCATCCCCCGACTCATCATCCTCGAACACGCTGAACCAACGTCACGCAGAGGAGAAAGTGGACTTGCCTCCTACTTAACCTTTCTCCATATTACGGTCTTGCCCTCACGTCACCCTGGGTGTTCTGGGTTCCTCCAGTTCATTCAGTGACCTTCGACTCTTGATCGACCATTGCGTGAAGCAAATCACTCCTGCCGTCCGTCGCGGTCGTCGGGCTCCTGTCTCATTGTGACCTCACCTCAGCCAGTGTCCCAACACTTCGCCGAGGCTTCTGGCTCCCTCTTCACATTCCACAAACCTTCCCTCACACGCAAACTCTTGTTTCTTATTCTTCTTCACAATCGTCATCCGTCATCTGACGACTATTATTATATCACCGCTATCCACCGGTATGTGTACGTCTTTGCGACAACCCTCACTCCACACTCAGATTAGAAAAACGTGCCAGCAAATCTAATCTAAACTTACAACAGTAGACAACACGCCATTAAGCAATTGAGTTCGGGCCCCGACCAACATGCCTAATAGTTTTGATCGCCTTGAGAGGCTCTTCTCAAAAAGAAGAGATTCTGCGACCCAGTCCCCCAGGGGTTCTGTCGACTTAACAGCACCGAAAACCGCCAGTCTGGATCACAGCTTTCCTCAACCTTCTTTTATTCGCCCGCGCGTTTCTCGGATGAAGGCTAGAGATGAGTGTGCAGTGGCCTCCCAGAAAGAGAGGCGTACCCAAAGCCTACCCGAGAACCAGTCCGAGCGCTACTCCATTCACGTTTCTCACATGAGCAGTGCAAGCATTATGACACTACCTATTCCATCCCGCTCCATGTCCCTCAATTACGGAAGCGAAATTCTGCCGGTGGCAAGTTTTGGCGGGTTCGATTTTCCTGCTCCTCCCAATGGCCACTTACTGGCCTCGCCCGCTTGCGCTACGTCGTCGTCCAAAACTCTACCCCAAGTGCATAAAGTTTCCCTTGAGCACCGCCACAGCTCCGTCATTCTGCCCCCGAGAGCTGACACCCCGCCCTCTTCTGACCATGAAGATGATTCAAGCATAAAGGGTTCTCAGCACGGCCGACCCTCTTCTTCCCTCAGTCGCGATTTACCGACACCCGAAGCATCACCAGACATGAAGCCTGTAAACGACAAGCGATCAAGGGATTCTGCTGAACTTAACCTGGCCAAGAGGAAGGCCGCCGCAGCGGCAACCAGGCGCAGGAGAGAGGAAAAAGCCGCCGCGTTGCGCCGTCCGTCAGGGCAGTCAAGGCCTCATAAGTCCGTCACATCATCAACACAGATCCTTAAAGGAGGAGATGTTAAGGACTTCTTCTCTCTTTCTGATGACGACATTTTGGAGGAGTTGGAGTTGGAAGATGCAGTTGAGACACCATCATCGTCGACTTCGTTTGGGACTCCTCCGTCGCCGCCGACCCCTGCCTCAACCTCATCATCGTTTCCCTCGAGGCGGACCTCATCTATCTGCGCCGATAATGTCGCCAAAGAGGGAGCTCTTCAAGTGGCTCAGATTGCCGCCAAACACAAGTTCGATCTCGTCTACATCATCAACTTGTGGCCCGACCAAGCGTCCGACTTCCCTTCTTTGCCATATCGCGCCTCGCTTGATTTATCTTCGAGGCCAGCCAACAGGAGAGACTCTCTTCTTGGGCCCATGGACGGTCCAACGGTGGACACTGCACCAGGCATGACTGGTCGTCTTCTTGCCGCGTACGGTTTGTCGAACCTCAAGAGCCCGTTCCGCATTTCGGCCACCGTTCAATCCAAGATTTTGAAGCAGGAGGGTTGGATGGAGTATCGCAGTGATGATGCGCAATCCGGCGACTTTGCTCGAGGCTACGGCCACGCTTTCCACACAGCTACTGGACGGAGGGGATCAGCCAATTCCAGCCCACGCAGCTCGGTCTTTCAAGATGTTTCCCGGAATGACCGCGGCATCGTTTTTGCCGCTTATCGCTATCCTAGCAAGGATTCTAGTCCAGCCGGATGTACTAAAGAGGAACTCGAGTCCCTGCGTGCTGATGCCGAAGGCCTGGTTGACTACCTGATGGCCATTCACAAAGCCAGACGCTTACGGGATCCTATCACATTTCAAAAAGAAACGTTCTCACAACCATGGTGAGGCTATTTATGCCTGACATGCCTGCAGCACCCTGCAGCTACGACTATTTTTCCGATTTACGCCCGCGACCAAGTGTGACGGACTACAGATGATCAATGACTCTTCATTCTTTCACCCTTTTCTTTGTCAAGATTTATATTCTATTGCGAATCGGTTTCTTCGATATGATACCACATGGAGAGCGTCGTCTTTTTATTCACAGCATCGGCTTAGGCATCTACGTCAAAGCTACTTCTAGACGAATCAAGTGCCTTGGTGGACGTCAAATTCTGAACCTTATGTGGATGGATGGTTGTGGTGGCCCGAAGAAGTGCGTCAAGGAGATGAGGCCGGCCTTAGCGATAGAGGTTTTTAGCTGGTAGTCTGTAGTAGAACTCTACGTAGTAGGCAGGTTTACCAGCCGGCAATGAGATGCAAGCATCAAGACTCCTCAATTTTTTCTTTCTCCCTAAAACTGCTGGCCACTGTCAAGTGATGAGCGGACGGTGTCCAGATGAAACCTAGGTTTCCCTCGGCTTTACCGGTGGTTGACTGACTTCAATGGCATATCGCAATAGATTGATCCGAACTTTTTCACATGAACCTTTTTCCCAATTGAGCAGTAAAAGCACATGGAGGTGACATAACCAAACCCGGCACCGTTCGCCAGTGGTGAAAGCTGGAGGCTGAGCTGTCAGCGCCGTGGCGATTCAGGGATGGCCGCTGGAATGCCGTCTTCCCAGCATGGGCACAGGGTTGAGTGTTTTCTGGCACAGGCAAACTGGTAGTTGCACGAGGGAACCTTGTTGAAACCTACCGCGACGCTGGTTGGGTGGGGGTGGAGATCCGGGTGTTGTTAGTGGTCTATTGGCGCTCTTTCACCCTTACCTTGGGCTGCCAGACAAGGGTGGCCTAACTTCCATACATGGCCGTAATGCAGTTTACGTACGTGTGTTGAGGGAGGGCTGCAGAGGGCTTTTTCAAAGCCAGTGGTTTGCATGCGTTAGGCTGGGCTGGCGTTGCAGTGAAGGAGGGGGGGAAGTTCCGGATGGCTAGAGGAGCACGTTCGGAACAGAGGTGTGGGGGTTCGTTTAAGAGCTACTGTAAGTGTACGGGGGGGCAGTGACTACTTGAGGCTAAGACACTCTTTCTTGAGTGGATTTCCTCTGGTTCACGGATACTAGTACATGTATGCAACTGCGGCATGGTGGCGGGATGTTGCCGGCGTCGTGGAATGGCCGCAGTCCATGGCGAGAGCAACTCTTCCGTTTGGTCGAGTACATTGCCTTAGAGTTGAGCCAGTCTGACTTGGCAGATGCAGGAGGGTCTGCTATTTTTCCTTTTGGTGCCTACATATGATTTGATGAGCTCTGTTGCTACAGTCCTTTTTTTTTTCTTTTTCAAAATAGGGCCCTGTTTTTTTGGTCTCCAAGCCAAGGACAACCTGTGAACTCAATGCAAGTTAAACTTGAACACAGTCCGAACATGTTTTTGTGATACCTTGTTTTCGTTTGTTCATGTGGGCTCAGTCGCTGCACGTTTTGACTTTAGGGTGCCCTTTTTGGGGGGGCTTCTTACACGGAAGATGAGGCGCTGAGCTCGGACTTCGTATGAAGGGCCGACACTTTGGGGGGAATGGGCGGGATACAACCCTTTCGTTCATTGGTGTGGCGAGGTTGGAGCAGGCTGTTCTACTGTGTACCCTGCCACCATGATTCGAGAACATGATGGATTGGAGGTTGAGAAACGAGACAAGGCAAGGTTGTTCTAGCATCAGGGGTATAGTATGATGCGAGGCGGCGACGGCCTAGTCAGTCAACGGCGTGGGGATCGTCGGCAACGTCAGCAGCAGAGGATAGCTTCCAATTGGCATTTGGTTTTTGGGCAGTGCCCTCGCCAAAAGATACCTACGTGGGGTCTGCCGCTTGGGGCTCAAAGATGCATCTCCGGCTCCGAAAAGGGGGACGTGCCACTGTGACACCAGTCCGCGCCGCGCGGGTAAAGAAGCAAGGGCTTCCCGTGAGGCGGCGGGCGGGCTAGGGGAGCTGGGAAGTTGCGTTAGGGCTTCCGCAGCTGTTAGCTTGGTGTCAGATGTGAAGCTAACAACGTCCGGCTTTTGACCGACGGACGCCGCTGAGATGCAAGTTGGTCTTGTTCTGATTAACTTGTTTGCTCCGATTTAGTCGCTGGATAGATAGGGGTTGGGGCTTCTGGCTCAATCTGGAGCTGGACCTTAGGTCCTTGCTGATGTAAGATGAACGTCTTTTGGTATATCCTTGATATCAAAAGATCATTATCTGGTAAGATCATGAGGTTGAAGTGGCAGTCTTAAAGTTCTGGTCTTTGACGGAAATTTTGAGGTTGACTGCGTTGCCAGGCACATTCATAGGTTGAGTTACTTTCTGATATCAATCAAAAGTAAGTCCTTTATCGACATCGAAGACTGGCTTTGGTCACCTCTATCCCTCACTCGGTCCACTGAGTATATGAGTCGAAGAAGGAACGTATTAGCCCTCAATTTCGATAGACTTCGATACGATGTATATAACAGAATGGCATCTTCTTTCTTTATCACCGGTCTACCATACTCGCCGTGATCCAAAGCCGTTCGCTTTGTTCCGTGGCAGTCACTCTTGTATCTTGTCCCTGCGAGTTTTTAATACTCCTCCTTGTTTCTCCTGATATTATGCTAGTTCTCATTCTAGCAGCCGCAAACTACTATTTTAGGATGTTGCCTCCGGCATTGGGGGTGCGGCCGTTGCATGCAGATGCTTGTGCGGCACCGTCCTTGCACGCAAAGCTACCTGGCGTTTTAAGGGGAGGTTAAAAGAATTTATGGTTAAGGCGCATATACTTACAAAAGAAGTGATTGGCTTTTGACATCGAATTGCCGGACCCCTTGAATGAACATTCGGCCTATGGTTCCCAATAGCTTTCAGCTTATGTTAGTCCTTAGTAAACACAAAAAGGGTAGATGTACCTCGTATAAGCCTGGTGGTAGTGAAGGCTGACCTACAACGTCGTCTATAAAGTTCATGGACGATACTGGAGAGAGCCTGTATTGCTACTCCTCACCGTCATTTACCAAATCGAGGATACTTTATAGCTTACAAACAAACTTAGGGTTCATCCCCTCCTTCCTCCTACTTTACGTGAACAATCTATTCTCCACCCTGATGGTACCAGCAAACTATTAAGATGCAGCGAGAGGGGCGTTGGACAGTTGAGAACAATGTTCGAATTAGTCATGGAACCGCCGGCCGCCTCAAGCTTTGGTTCTATACAAGGGTATCAAAATAGATGGATGCGGGGATAGCTGTTAGCTTCCGTCCTTAAGGAAGCGCAATACATCATAACAAAGATAAACTCGTCCGAAACCGAGCCTTACAGCTATTTCGCGTTCTTATGACCGTTTGTCAACCAACCATTGACCATTTAATCATGCAGCTATTGCCAACATTGGCATGTAGGTGATTGATGGGGTCTAGAAAACCAAAACTTCTCGAGCAACCACAGTTTTCTATATCAAGGCTCACACACACGCTCAGTGCATTCTTAAGAGCCGTTCAGTTATCTGCCTATACTTTTCCCAGGAAGAAGTGGCTACTCTGAACGACCCTGCTACCGAAAGAGCTCTGTTGCTACCTGATCTAGCAACAAAAGCCCTAAGGCTCGTTCAAATATCACGTTATTCCTGTCTGATGACTAGTCACAGCAGGGAAAACACGAACCCCATATCATCCTAGAAGCCATCGTTCAGAACTGGACACTTCGAAATCTCCCTCTTCACGTAATTTTTGCGCGAGTTTACCCAAGTGGCATGTAATTTTGTTGATTTGATAGTGGTCTACATCACCAGAAAAACCGCAATTCCTACGCTATACTTTTGATTTGGTACATGCTCCAGGTGCGGTATTTGTTGGGCTCATCACACTTCTCTATCGCAGTCGGTGGCATAGCCAGTCCCATGTGCCAGTATAGAGTGCTTCAGCTCGTCTAGTCTCTCACCAAAGGCGCTGCTGATTGGAATTTTGAGGTCAAGACCTGCATTGCCTTCAACAGTGCCTGTGATAACGATGTTGTCATGGTGAAGGTGCCGAGGAAGAAGTGGGCAGTGCGGTAGCTCCAGCGCCCCATCTTACTTTGACCGGCAGCTTTCCCTACCAGGAACCAACGACAGGGCCCTAGCAAACCGTTAATGTTTACTTTCGTTGTCATGTTTTCTTTCAGGACATGTGCTTACTGTTTCTGCTTTCGGTCACTTCATTTCAGCCGCCTTCTGGTCATGTTTGTTTGACTGGGTGGATGTCGTTTTCCGCCCGCCAACAACTTGGTCAAGCGTAGTTGTTGAGAAGAATGCAATGAATACTCGCTGTGGGGCAGTTCCTAATGCGTGATATCAAGTAGTAGAGAGTTCAGGCTATCTCGCTGGTAGAACTTGGTGAGGAGAATGTGGGTGAGGGGCGCTAACTGCCTTTATCTGTCCAAGAGCACTAACGCGTGACAGTGTCGACAGCCTCCATAGCCAAATGTATTACAAGATCGTGACACACAGCCAGATGAGCTGAAGAGGAAAGATATAGATTCCAGCGCGGGAAAGAATTTGACTTGATTTATCAACTTAGTCTATACTGCAGCCCGGAACGGATGCTTATCAACGCTATTGTTGAAGCCAGCCGTTCCCATCAACGACGAAACACTTTTGATCAGACTCGCCCTGCCACTCTTCTCTCCGCCACTCAAGTTAGAGACTGGCAGGCTGACCTATTGTTCGGGAGGGCTTATCAACACGCCTGTTGTGCCCGCATTTTCGTAATATCGACATTCATCCCCAAACGCCAATGGTATCCGTGAACCAACCTCCAACTGTAAAGCACGCGAGGCGCCGACATATCCGTTCGTAGCCTATCTTCGAGGGGGAGGGTTGAAGCCAGGGGCCCCACCAGGAGGGCCAGGATTGAAGCCTGGAGGAGGGAAAGGGGCGTTTTGAGGGAAGCCGGGAGGCGGGAAACCGCCGGGGAAGCCTGGGGGAGGCGCTATAAGGTGTGAGAATGCAGGTCTAGGTACGAATGGTCTTAAAAGCTCACCTCCACGTCCACCGAAGGGCGGGGCACCGGGAAAACCAGGAAATCCAGGGGGAGCGCCGCCTCCAACACCGGCAGCAGGACCCTGTAATTAAAGTTAGCTCTCGCTCAGCAAAGAAATAGGTAAGGGGGTTACACACGGCCAAAGAAGGGGGAGCAGGAGCAGCACCTCTGCCGGCAGGTCTTGCAACACCAGGACCAGCAGCAAGAGTCGAGGAGATTCCTCCTGGCGCGCTCTTTCCGAGTCTGGCACTGGGGTCGGCCGGGGGTTCCGACTCAACAGACAGCGATACGATGTGCGCGCCGCGCACAATGGTTAGACCGAGTGTGCGCTTCTCCTCCTTCTCGATTGTCTGGCTCGAGCCAGAGCTTCCAGGTGCGGCAGGCTTATTCTGTCTGATCTTGACACGTCGGAACTCTTCAGTGTCGGCGAGAACAAGGTTCATGTGCTGCAGACATAGTTAGCATCATCATTAACGCGTGATTATAAGTTTGAGAGTGCGCACCTTGTCAAAAGCAAGCATCTGTCCGGTCATCTGGCGGCCATCATTAAGAGTCACTCTCATCCGGTAGTTGATCTGTCGGGCAAAGTCAGTCACGCTGTAAAGAATCTTCTCGTCAACGACACGAGTGGAATATCGGTAACTGATACGTACGTAACCGGCCTAGAGAGATCAAATCGTGTCAGCCTGTATTGTCAACCTTCAAGCTTTGGAAAGGAATGTAAGGAGCGACTAACCATCTTGCCCTGTTTGTTTGACATCTTGCCAAATGTGTGTTTGAGATGCTACTTTCGTAGCTTCTCTAAATCTTCAAAAAATTGATCTTGTTTTGTTGCGAAGCTTGAGAGACTTCGGCGCGACCTTGGATGCTGCTGGAGGCAGAGCTTCAGACAAGGTCAGAGTGGGTATGTCCTCTCCAGATAAATTTCGGTGGAGGAGGCTGACGACGGAAGGCTGAGGCCAAACCGAAACGGGTAAACATCGGTGATTCTAAGGACTCAATTCCGCTAGTCCACTCTCGGCTAGGTCATCTTTGAGTGGGTCGTCACCCACCGTCTGCTGTGAGGGCTGCTAAACCCATCCCACAAATACGGGCTCGAACTTTTTGGATTTTTTACACTCGACAACTCGTGATATCGACTCAACACCAACGCCAGCCCAACGCCGACGTACTAACCGCCAAAATGTCCGAGAAGGCCCAGAACCCCATGCGCGAGCTGCACTTGCAGAAGCTTGTGCTCAACATCTCGGTAATTTTTGTCTCGATGTTGCTAGTAATAATTCACATTTGCTAATGAACGTGAATACAGGTCGGTGAGTCTGGTGACAGACTGACCCGTGCCGCCAAGGTTTTGGAGCAGCTTTCCGGTCAGACTCCCGTCTACAGTAAGTTTTTATCATCGTTTCCTGGAAAATGGGGATGAGCCATTGACCATTTCGAACAGGCAAGGCCCGTTACACCGTCCGTACTTTCGGTATCCGCCGTAACGAAAAGATTGCTGTCCACGTCACCGTCCGTGGCCCCAAGGTACGAAGACGAATATATGGGCAGTTGGAAGTGAAGGGATGTAAAAGGCTGACTTTAAACACAGGCTGAGGAGATTCTTGAGCGTGGCCTCAAGGTCAAGGAGTACGAGCTGCGCAAGCGCAACTTCTCTGAGACTGGTAACTTCGGCTTCGGTATCAGCGAGCACATCGATCTCGGTATCAAGTACGACCCCTCCATCGGTATCTACGGTATGGACTTCTACGCCTGCATGACCCGCAAGGGTGAGCGTGTCGCCACTCGTCGCCGCTGCAAGGGCCGCATCGGCTCTGGCCACAAGATCAAGCGCGAGGAGACTGTTAAGTGGTTCAAGTCTCGCTTCGACGGTATTGTCCGATAAATGCAGTACCATTGATCTGCGATGAACCAAAAAAATGAACCTTGGGACGGCTTGGGTTTTACGGACATTGGCGAAAACGGGAAATGGGTCAAAAGGCATGTACTTTCCAGCAGTTGTTATCGTCAGACAACAGAGCTTGACTTGAGGAAAAATTCAGTCGAGCTGCGGCCTCAGAGACCGACCGGCGCCTATGCCGGCTTACCACAAATATCATGCCTACTGTGATGCTGTATAAATGCGACTTGGTGACGATGGAATGCGAATGGTGATCCTAGGCGTTGGTGGTTTAGTTAGTCTCGCTATAGCTCAATAAAGCTAACATCTTCGTGGACTTTTTCCTGAACTATCGAGATACGTCTTTTGATGGTGCATTGTTTGTTCCGCCTACAGAAATGCGACGGGGAAATGTTGTCGCGTGCCGTGACTACTGGATGTTGCCGACATAGTGATGTGCTTCGGTTTTGAGGTTTGCTCCGAGGCGGTCAGGCTCGGTGTTTCCGGCCGGCCGGACACACGTTCCACAACGGATACAGTTTAACCTCTAGGTTCTCAACGTGTGCACAAAAACGGCTTGCCTCCCTTGAGAGGGTGGGAATGTTACGGTGGAGAGGTCTGCGCTGGGAAACTGGGGAAGGGAGTGGTGACGGGAAGCTAGACTAACCGCAGCATGCATACAGATTTATGAGGTGAATGCTGGTTTCATGAGGCCATCATATGATAAAGATTGGTTTACTGGGGCATCTGAACTCCGGTCACGGGGCAGAAATTTGGCACCTTGTCGCAAACTCAATGGGCACGATGGGCTGTGGAAAGCCAGATTGGCACTTGTTTTTTTTTTTTTCCGTTCGTTGAGATGGAGATCCATCAGCAATTTCTTCGGGGGCTTTGGCACTAACAGGCTGGTACTTTCAGTGCATGTTGTATTATGTAATGCGACTGAGCAAGGCATTTCACGGGGTTACGGGGCTACGTACTGTTCGTCGGAAATTGTTAGGGTGATCTCGGGTTGGACTGAGGCAAAACTTGACGACCCACCGTGATTGGCCGGACAGCACAGCTTCGGGTCCACCGCTTCCTCACTGTCTTTTCCCTCCACTGGGCTTCTTCCAAAAAAGACTCGATTTGCACTCCTTCAAAGGCACCTTCATCAACCCCAATCTCCCCTCCACTCAATTGCATCTCTTGCAATTGATTCTCCTTCGATCTAGACAGTGTCCAAGATCTCCTAATATGTTCCGCAACGCCCTCCGACAGTCGACGCGCGCCGTCGGCGCCGTCTCTGCTGCCGGCAGAGTCGCTGCCGTAAGTCCAACCCAGCCTCAACCATTCGTCAACCTCCCCATCCCCGAACCGACGTCAATTCCATCCAAAAACATCATCAATCGGTTCCGCGATGATCAATTATGTCTCCTCAAGCTGTTTTGACTTCTCGGAACGCGCGGTGTTGTCGTGGAAGAGCTTTTCATCAAGCTCCCTTAGTGTTGCGTCGATGTTTTGGGGGGAGCCCATAACATTTTCGGGCTTCGGCTAACCTGTTTTTTCACCCTCAGGCCCGAAATGCCGCACCCGCCGCCTTCAACGCCACGTCGATGCAGACTCGTTCATACGCCGAGGCCAAGGCTTCCCCGACCGAGGTTTCTTCTATCCTCGAGCAGAGAATTCGTGGTGTCCAGGAGGAGTCTGGTCTTGCCGAGACCGGCCGCGTCCTGTCCGTCGGGTACGTTTAGGCGGCACATCTCGGCATCGCGAGTATCCATCGGAAAAGCTTCAATGCATCATCAGCTTGCACGAGGACTCGCATGCCATCATCGCTGACTGCTGGAAAAACTTTTTTATGCTGACGACAACTGGAAAATAGTGATGGTATCGCCCGTGTTCACGGTATGGCCAACGTCCAGGCCGAGGAGCTTGTCGAGTATGTTAAGCGCCATTTATCCGCTCTTGAGTAACTTCGCGTCTGACCATCTATAGGTTCGCCTCTGGCGTCAAGGGCATGTGCATGAACCTCGAGGCCGGCCAGGTCGGTGTCGTGCTTTTCGGTTCTGACCGTTTGGTCAAGGAGGGCGAGACTGTCAAGCGTACCGGAGAGATTGTAAGTTACACCATGGCCTCTACTGACTGTCACGGCGGCTAACCAGACTTCAAAGGTTGACGTTCCCGTCGGTCCCGAGCTGCTCGGCCGTGTCATTGACGCTCTCGGTAACCCCATTGACGGCAAGGGCCCCCTCAACGCTAAGGAGAAGCGCCGTGCCCAGCTCAAGGCTCCCGGCATTCTGCCTCGCAAGTCCGTCAACCAGCCCGTCCAGACCGGTCTCAAGTCCATCGACGCCATGGTTCCCATCGGCCGTGGTCAGCGTGAGTTGATCATTGGTGACCGTCAGACTGGAAAGACTGCCGTCGCTCTCGACGCCATGCTTAACCAGAAGCGTTGGAACTCCTCCAACGACGAGACCAAGAAGCTTTACTGCGTCTACGTCGCCGTCGGTCAGAAGCGTTCCACTGTCGCCCAGCTCGTCAAGACCCTTGAGGAGAACGACGCCATGAAGTACTCTGTTGTCGTTGCCGCCACCGCCTCTGAGGCCGCTCCTCTGCAGTACATTGCTCCTTTCACTGGTGGTAAGTGTTTATTGTTTTTCATCGATCCCTTCTATCACCCATCATTTCTGTCATTGGTCACTCTTGCCGTTGGTCGCTCTTGTCGTTTGCCGCTCTTGTCATTAGTCACTTCTATCCACGATCCCCGCTATCCACGATCCCCTTTGGCGCTTATTCCTAGGAATCAACCAACGGAACAATATGCTAATCATTTTTACTGGAAGCTTCGGTGGGGGAGTGGTTCCGTGATAATGGAAAGCACTCTCTCGTGATCTACGACGATCTGTCCAAGCAGGCTGTTGCCTACCGTCAGATGTCTCTGCTGCTTCGTCGTCCCCCCGGACGTGAGGCCTACCCCGGTGACGTTTTCTACCTGCACTCCCGTCTTCTGGAGCGTGCTGCCAAGATGAACGACAAGCTCGGCGGTGGTTCCATGACTGCCCTGCCCGTCATTGAGACCCAGGGTGGTGACGTTTCTGCCTACATTCCCACCAACGTTATTTCCATCACTGACGGCCAGATCTTCTTGGAGTCTGAGCTGTTCTACAAGGGTGTCCGTCCCGCCATTAACGTCGGTCTTTCCGTCTCTCGTGTCGGTTCCGCTGCCCAGCTCAAGGCCATGAAGCAAGTTGCTGGTTCCCTGAAGCTCTTCTTGGCCCAGTACCGTGAGGTCGCTGCCTTCGCTCAGTTCGGTTCCGATCTTGATGCCGCCACCAAGCAGACCCTCAACAGAGGTGAACGCGTAAGTCACAAATTGGACTCGTTTGAATCTAGCTATGTACTAATTCCCATGTCTACAGTTGACCGAGCTCCTCAAGCAGAAGCAGTACTCCCCCATGGCTGTCAACGAGATGGTTCCCCTTATCTTCGCTGGTGTCAACGGTCACCTCGACTCCGTCCCCGTCAGCAAGATTCTCCAGTGGGAGGCTGACTTCCTTGCCCACCTCAAGACCAACGAGTCTGACCTGATTGCCACCATCGACAAGGAGGGTGTCCTCAGCAAGGACCTTGAGGCCCGCCTCAAGGATGTCATTGTCAACTTCACCAAGAGCTTCCTGGGCTAAATTTAAGTCACACCTGACATAATAAATGGTCCGACTGGGAGCGCTAGGGGTTGATGTAGCTGTCTATACCGAAGTTTTCTGTTTCTCTAGAGGCGTGAGGAAATCTCGAGGGTTTGCGCCGGTCCGAGGGAAGCATCAGGGGACGCGATTTGGGGGAGGATCTCCAGTCGAACCACTTGTAAAATAGAGCTCAAGACTCAATTAACGCCCTCGATTCCTTTTGTCCTTCAATAGCATGACCCTGTAATTCAAATTTGCGCTGTGAATAGTGTGCATGACTTAATATGGCGGGTCAAGATGCGGTCTTGGAGTGGGTTTAGAAGGTGCACCCGGGGGTGTCTGCATGTGACATCATTTAACTGTCAGAGCTCTTATTCTAGCTGCTTTCCTCAACACCTGTACCTCAAATGAACAACCCAACTTATTTAAACGTGAAGCTCCCAGAACCACTCATATTCCAGCATCTTGCGATTGATCCACGATCGGCGTCACCGATTATATCATTGTACTCCCGGTTTATGTTATTGCGCTATTTAAACTACTTCTCAGCTCATTCCCAAGGCCAGCGATAGGTCACCCAAGCTTGCGATGCCATCTGAAACCACTCCTCCCACCATGTCTTCAGCAACAAAAGAGATCCTCAGCCGCGTCCAGCGGATGATTCCGCCCATGTTGGAGAAGTTCCACAAGGGTAAGTAACTTGGTAATCTTGTGAGCAAGAGATATATATGCTTACATTTGGTTTCCAGGGCAGCTGGGTCGTGTCGGCGTCCTCGGCGGTAGTGTAGACTACACCGGAGCACCATATTTCTCAGCCATGGCTAGCGCCAGGCTGGGCTGCGATATGGTAAATATCATGTATCCCCCCCTCACTTGCAGATATTAACAGTTATAGTCTCATGTCATCTGCACCCCCGGTGCTGCGGCCACCATCAAAACTTACTCCCCAAACCTCATGGTTCACCCCCTCATGCGGCAGTCCCCTTCCGATGAGGCCCCCAGCGGTAGCAAGGACGCCCATACCGATGCGGATCAAATCTCTAAGCCAATTGTTGAGATGCTCTCACGCCTGCATGTGCTCGTCATCGGACCCGGGCTTGGTCGGGACCCGCTGATGCAGGATACGGTTGCCCTCGTTATTCGCGCTGCGAGAGAACGGTCGATCCCGCTGGTTCTTGACGCCGACGCCTTGCAACTCGTGCAGAAGAAGCCTGAGCTGGTGAAAGGTTACACGCTTGCTGTTTTGACACCCAATGTCGTTGAGTTCTCGAGACTTTGCGATGCTTTAGGGATTGATGAGACTAAGGCGAAGGAGAAGGCCGAAGGGGGCGGGGATGAGAAGGAGACTGCCAAGGTTGAGGCGCTGGCGAAGGCCTTGGACGGTGTGACAGTTGTACAGAAGGGCGGAAAGGACTTTATTACAAACGGCGAGGATACTCTAATCGTTGATTTGGAAGGTGGGTTGAAGCGAAGCGGAGGCCAAGGAGATACACTTACGGGTTCCATCGCAACTTTCTTGGGATGGAGAAAGGCGTATTTGGATGGTTTGTGGGATACGGGAGATCAGTCGCTCGCAGAAGAAGAGCTTGTCAGGCTTGCTGCTTTCGGAGGCAGCGCAATTACGAGGGTGAGTCAAGACAGAGATATGTTGAAGATGAGATACTGACTTGGTTTTAGGAGTGTTCTAGACGTGCGTTCTTGAAGAAGGGACGTAGCTTGCAGGCGAGCGATCTCACAGATGAAGTTCATGGCTCATTCATGGCTCTATTTGGGGAGGTCGATGGTAACGCCGGAGCTACCAAGCTATGAAGTTTTCATTATAGGACTAGCAAGACGTCTGCTTGCTAACCTTTGAGTTCTAGTCCTAAGGGATCAATGAATACATAAATACAATCCTCTACTACGTATTCCCAATATTTCCATCATTGAGTTTGGTATAATTGTCGGTATTAGTCTGTGGCAAACCAATAGAGGCCCTGTCAAAACAAATTGGTTTGCCATACACAGGTGCCTGATTGGCGGCACAATGTATGTAGGCGCATTCTCGAAACCTACTGTATCCCATATTTTCGGAATAATTTGTATTGTATGCTTCTTTGCGGTTTCTTGAGGGCATCTCGTCCGCTTAGGGAGGGGAGACAACTGAAGCTCACGTCTGCAGCAGCGACTGGACTTCTCCCACTGTCTCAGTTCTCGCAAGACCGCCAGAAAAGAAGTCGTTTGCAGTAGTTCCTGTTCCAAATGTAGATGACCGGTGATTCTCACCGCAATACGCATGCAGGGTAATTCATATTATGCGGGTTCAGCTGGTGTTACGCCTGTCTTAATACATTGTTGTTATGTCGAGGGCTTCCTCTTTAGACTCTCTGTCAGCAGAATAGTTTTCCAGATTGCATCCAATGTTCTCTCAAAGTTAATTTTTTACGAATTTACAATTTTATTTCCATTCCAAATGCTGCTGTCGGCCAATCCGGGCTTAATCACTCCATCCCATGTAGTTGGATGAAAATGGCCAGCTTCTCATCGACAGAGGCCACAGACACACAAGAACATAACCTCAGCCCTGCGGCGTCTTAAATCGTTTTAGCTAACTCTTGATCCCTTGTTCGTAGGAGCTCGCCTTTAAGGCTAGAGGCATGCTTAATTAGAAATCATTGTTTCTTTCTTTTCCTCATGGTTTAAGATCAAGCTCTCTAGTGAGGAAACGTCTGCTGGTAAACTTTTATTCACCGGGACTAAACGCAGCATGTGATACGTGACAGCCGGTAAAATAGACATAAAGAAGTACAGGAGTATCCAGGATACAGCATAAAATCATCATAGGTTGTGTTCATTGGAAACTTGCTAAGGATAAATGCTCCCAAATTGGGTTACGGGCCAACCGCGAGGGCTGGACCTCAGTATTCAGAACGACGCACTATCCGTGGTGGGCGTTGATATAGTGTTAGAGCTCGCTTCTGAAATAGTCAAGGACATACATGATATGGCTACCGAAACTTCTACAAAAGTCCTAGCAACGTCTGGATTTATTGCCATGTGCCGTTGGATATTGGGTGAGATGTATGTTACTACCCGCAAAATGCAAAACGCTAACCTCCAAGAAGAGCATGAGCCAAATAGGAGAGTCAGGCAATTCGAGAAGCGGCAAGCGCGGGAAGCGAAAACATCCTGCCAGGCGACCTGCCGACGAACCTAGAGCACAGGAAGGGAAGCCATATGGAAGAAGAACGGTAGAAAGTATCTGGCAGGCACAAGTACATGTGTGTATCCCAAGCCGAGAGGCTTGTTACATGGCAAAGGTACTACGCGGGCTAGCGGCAAGGTCAACTGGCTAGCAAGGCGAACATGGCGTAGCCGCTAATGTGTGTTCAAATCATACGTAGTGTGATACCGCAGGATTTAGAGTCTCCCTCCAGCTTGCAAGACAAGCTTTTCTTGGACAAGGTTTAGGAAGGAACCTGGTGTAGAAGCGTCTCTGGGCCAGCATCAAACCCGAGGACGTCACGCCACGGGGGCCGGTCCTGAACCCGGCCCGGCGCACTCCGGGAATCCCCTTCGCTGCTCACGGCCACTTCTACCAATAAGAAAAGACATGCAGGCGGCTTGCAGGATAGCATATAACACGACGAGGCAAAACCGGAAGTCCATCCGGGCGGGCAGCTGCGGCATTCGGGGCCAGCCGGGTCAAACACACAATACCGTCTGCGGTCTTCAATTCCAGCTCTTGCCCGTCCCGGGTCCAAACCCGGGGTACGTACACGACATGGACCTCGAGACTGAACGGCAGCAGCTCCCAGCTCTCGGAGTCTGCATACACTTACACACTCACACAACCAGAAGGCAAGAATAACTCTGAAACATCATGCAAGTCCTCCAGCAACCGCACCAAACAGCATCTTTTATTCCTCAGAGGGCGTGTGTCTATCTACATCTGTATTCAAAGCCGCTGGCGGGCGGGCGGAAGAGTGGGATTAGGGGGCGGAATCGGGATGCGGACCACTCAGCTCTCGGGAGGGATTACCCGCATCGACCCGTGCCAGTCAGTCAAACTTCAGACACACAGGCAGTCGGACTATAGACCGAAACACTATGTGAGGTAAGGTACGAAGGATGATGATGGAGGGGGAATACTGTGTCTTCGGGGGGGAAAAAACGCAAGAAAAATTTTCCCTTCTTGCATGGGGTGGAAAAACATAGACTGATAATGGCATGATATTGTACACATTTCCAGATCCGTCTAATGCAAGATGCGGCAGTGGTGGCTTTTACGGGGTGAGTTATGACGAAGAGTGAACCACCGCATGCATACACAACTGGTTGTGGTCTAGATTTTTTTTTCTTTCACCCAAATTACCAGTTCATAATGTTTCCAAAGTCACTGCGACTACTAGTGCCGCTTACATAGTGGTGGATGTATTTGCTTGAGAAGAGGGAAGGGGACTAGGTGCAGATTTGTCCATCTTCTACAACCTATCTCTTCTCACTCTCAATTTCTTTCTTTCTACCACACCTTCGCCTCTGGTTTTTTTTTTTCTTACCTAAAATACACAAGTATACAGGCTGACTGAAGTCTGAATCCCCCACCATTCAACTCTTTACGCATTTACAATCTTGTACCCCATCCTTTTCGGCATCATGTTTGTCCACCGTTCCTTCTTCAGCGCATCGCCTAGCGTAGTACAGACGAACATCGGCACGTGACCTCCGATTCCAACCAATCATATTCTCTTCGCGTTTCCTGACGCAATTCCCGATATCGCAATCTTTATTCCCGGGCGGGAGCACTGGGCAAGTCCAGTGGGAAAGTCCAGTGTGTGTGTGTGTGTCCGTGTCCGCCCGCGCGAAATTTCGGAGCCGCGCAAATTGATCCAGCCAAGCAAGCTCCAGGGAAAAGCCCGTCAAACCTCAACAAAAAAACCGACATCACACATCCGAACGACCATCCCGCCCCCCCCGTCAGTGCCAATTGCATCGCTCGTTTCCCTCCCTTCGATAGTAACCACCACAACCGACAATTCCTCCAAAATGGCCGCTCTCGTTAAGGCGATCAACGCAAAGATCAGGTCCAACCCTGTGACGGACTATGTCTGCTCTACCCGTACGTCTCTACCGTCCACAATTTTTTTTCTTTCCCTCTGGCAGGCTCCGCGCTCCGGAGTTAGCGGGGATTATCCGACATCAACGAAGAAGGGAGATGGAAGCTTTGCTTAAAGCTATCCCCCTACATCGTGAGATGATAAAAAGCTCTGGAGAGCATTGGGATAGCTCCGTTTCTAATTTTCCGGGCGGTGCAATGGACGGAAGACGTAGCGGCGCGCCCTTCGGCATCATGGGAATGCCGGCGCCTGGAGCTCCGGTGCCGGCAACGCCGTCGCGATAGCTTCACAATGAGTCAAGACGAATCAATGCTAATACTGCCTGCGATGACAGACTTCTGGGGTCCCGTCTCCAACTTCGGTATCCCCCTGGCCGCCGTTATGGACACCCAAAAGTCCCCCGACCTGTACGTCGTCTTTTCCCTGCATCCCGGCGCCTGCGCACGCGATCCGCCTCTCCTGCGCAACCTACCAATTTGAGAAGGAAAAAAAAAAGTATAGAATGCTGATACACATGTTCACGATAGCATCTCCGGCCAGATGACCGGTGCCCTCTGCATCTACTCGGCCACCTTCATGCGCTACGCCCTCGCCGTCCAGCCCAAGAACTACCTCCTCTTCCTCTGCCACTTCGTCAACGAGGGCGCTCAGCTCACCCAGGGATACCGTTACATGCAGTACAACTACTGGGGCGGAAAGGAGGCCCTGAACGCAAAGACGGCTGTCGAGGGTGTCAAGAACACGGCCGCTGCTGTCGAGGGCAAGGTTAAGGACGCCGTCAGCAAATAAGCGCTGTCTGTCTTTTGATAAGAGGGAAGAGTCGGGTCACATGTGGTATTTTAGGGGCGTGGGATGGTCCTTACCATTGCAGTTGTTGAGGCTCCGGTGCTGCTGGGTCTGATGGAAGGGGATGATCTTGGAGCGCCTGGAGGGGGGACGTTATGAGATACTTTGGTCCGCTAACCTCTGAGTGTGTGTGTGAATGACGGCGCGACAGGAGAAGTCCCTGTCCAAAAGGTTACGGCATAAAACGTGGGAAAGCCTTAACCTCCTTTCAGCCGCGGTACGGGAAACAGGTGGTATCTGGGCGGTGTCTGTACCATCATCACCTTTTGCATTGTTGTCATAATTTTTTTTGCTTTACGGAAACGGGACCCTGATTTCCCGGGGAAACAACCAAGGACGCGGGCCCCTTCTGTCTTGGGCCCGCTATTTCGTACAATAGAAAAAGCGAAACTGTTTCTGGAATCCCAGCAACTGTGCCAGCTTCAAAACCGTGAGAAATGGAGAACGAAGGTCAAAAACCGAAAGTGAGGTGAGCTAACTTTCTTGGCGAACACGGCGAAGCAGTCTGGAACTGCCAGGTGGTGGGTAGTAGTGACAATGATGGTTGCAATAGCCATGGTCGTGCGGCAGTGCTTTGATAGTGGAACGTGCCGTTCTTGGGGCCCTGATACGAACTATAGGATTCTGTCTAAAAAAGGCTTCCTCAATAGCCTTCTGTTTTTTTTTTTCTTTTTCTTTTTTTTGGGCCTCGTTTTACCCTCCTCCTTTTGCCCCCCCAGTGACAACTGACGATGGTGGACGGAGCGGAGCGGAGCTCTCCTATTTCGGGCGATTCGTACTTTGTTTCAAGGGCCGGGGCCAGAGACAGGAGGTTGAGGAGGGGCAAGGAGAAACATTGTGAGCACTGTTGCGACTACAAAGATTCGATGACTCAAAAATAGATGTCGTCTCATGTCGTCCAGAGAGTGGCCATCGGTGGACAGAGTGGTTCTACTCTCCGAAAACGCGAGAGCACCGACATGACCCCCACCCTTGACGTTGGCACTTGTAAAGATCTCGCCGGACGGCCGGCCGAATGCAGATCCAATGTCCTCGTCCTTTGGGACCGCGCATGCGCGCTGATGCCCGGCGTTATTAATCGTGGGGTACAGGGCGGGTATGAAGAAGGCGTGTGCCTCAAATAACCTCTGATATCCGCCGGTTCGAAAGAGTCACACAGGAGACGATCACGCAAGGTGGCAGGGAGAAGGGGGGCCCGATGTTAGGACTCCAGGCACTGGGGGATGGGGTTGAAATAAATGTCGCATAGTTGATGAAGCCATGGCTAATTTTCATTACCATCCCGCAACTCACTATTTGACCAGCCTTGCTGGCATGGCGGACTGGAGATACACCGTGTCGCAGTATATTGCTCACGCAGTATTTTCAGAGAACGGGGGGCTGAGAAATCAGATGCCGGGAGAGCCGAGGTCGGAGTAGCCAGATGTGGTTGGAGGAGTCATCATCATGGCAGAGGATGGTGGGTTTGGCTCTGCTGCCAATTTTTTTTTCTAGCTACTTTTTTTTTGCCAATGCGGCTTGGATATCGGCGCGATTGGATCTGAAAAAAAAGGAGGAAACGGGGAAAAAAGCCTTGATGGGGGGCCAAGAGTCTTGGGAGCGTACCAGAAGTATGGGCTCTAGTTGCGCAGGATAATCTGGCCGAGCAGACCGTAGACTTGCAGCACAAGTGAGATCCAGAATGGCACCTTGGCGGTGTAACGACTCGAGATGATCGATGCGACGAGTTGCAGTCACACTTCAGATACAACGGCGCAAAGCCGATGATTCATTTCCTACTTGCCCAATTTGATGAACCTTCACTTGGAAATAACAAGCCAAGCCCCTGGCGGCCCGGGAATTCAATCAAGCATAGTCGGTGGGCCGGGAATAACTTCGATTAATATGGAGGCTGCGCGGTTTTGTTTTAACGGAGAAACAGCCCGGACGGCCTGGTCTCTGGCTGGGGTGGATGATGCGCTGCTGATGAGTGGCTTCACGGTGGTAGTCTAAGGTGAGTAAGTAGGCAATTGGCATGTGGTCGATCCAGTATGTGGGCGGCGGTGGTCGGCGGTTCCAATAACCAGCCCGGGCTAAGGTCGGCGTGGCCTGCCTCACATCCCAGGACTGCTGGTTTTGGTCTGCGTATGTTACGGAAGGGTAGCCGGCACTCGCTCTGTTTCTACATGCCGCTCGGTACCAGTCACCGAGGTCCACGATGCCTCTTTTCCTTTTCAAAGCAAAGACGTCAGAAAGGGGTTAACAAAAGACAGAACCCTGTGAAAGTCACCCCGCATTCTGCGACGAGCTGGACCGCGGGGCGAAAATAGTCAGGGACGGCCTCCTGAGCTCGCCTCTTCAATGGCTGATATCGCGTCGAGTTCTCCCGAAGCAGCACGGGCAGGTAGCCGGATGATGAGGCGGACGTCCGAGCCGTTACGGTCAAGTCGGGTGGACAGTCCGCGTTATCCTCGGCTTCGGCAGTGGACTCGCCCGGGGAGGCCCATATAGGCTTCTGGGGAAGAAGGGGAGATCCCGTGAAGAGCTCGTGAGATTGCGAAGTTTGCCGAGTTGGTTGCTTGTGTCTCGGGATTGGCAATTTGTCGGTATCTTGCTGGAAGGTTGGTGTACAATGTTCGGCCGCAACAACAGTGCAGTGTGATTGAGTGATGGTGGCCTGCCGCTAGGTGCTTTAGGGGACAACCTTGCCTGTGACAGGCGCCACCTCTTGCAGAAATGAGATTCTCAAGGGGGTGAGGTGCAGGAGAAACCGGCACCTGGCGTGCACTGTAAATTACACAGAGTTGCAAGTCAGGTACGGGGTAAAGATACGTATGGAATTTGAATTGTAATTTTATTGTTCTCTTCCCTTCAATTATTTTTGTAGATATGGATTTAGCAGTTGCTGCTTCCCTTTGGCAGTTTGGTCACCTCTTCCTACCTTATCTGGTTGTGCATTGTCAGTGTGTGGTGTCACTAAAGGCCCAGTGCCTAGTGACGGTATTGGCTGTTTTCCCATTCCAGGAAACCGTTAGTCAAACCGGAGGAAAGCTGTTTGTATCGGTGGACTCTGGTTGGCCAATTGCTTGTGGTTTAGCGGTGTTTTGCGACCCCGCCATCATTTACCTTTTTTTACTTTTTGGATTTATTTACTCGAGGTCGTGTTTGAGGGGGAAACTGACATGGCAAGCGCTGTGTCTCAACCCTCGTCGCTTCGTGGATCTCCGGCGAGTCAAAAAAAAAAAAAAAAAAAAACATGAAAAAGATGCCGTGTGTTGATGTTCCAAGATACCAGAGGTATATCTTTGACGAATACTGTCTTGGTATTTTTTTTTAGTTTCGCTGTTTTGTTGATTGCAAATTTCTGGGCATTTTCGTCAGCTGTCTCAGGAGTTGAGGTCAAGGCACCCGGCCCGCTGGATACGGAGAGGTTGGCGGTTGTAGAGAAACACAGGCGGCATGCCTCTTCGTCAGGGATAGGCGGGGAGGGGTTTGCTGCTATTCCGAGGAGGCCCTGAAGGCCTGTTGCTCTCGGGGCATTGCAAAAAGCCAAGAAGTATCAGCATCTCAGGTTGAGATTCACATGTATCCGCTCACTACGCTACCATGCTGGGTTATGGAGTATGGGTTATGGATCTTGGCCAGAGCGCAAAGGGGAAGAGCTGAGTGAACTACAGGAAGATTGACTAAATCTACTGCCCATTATGGCAATCGGTACCAAGAAAAAAACACCATTGTGACCGTCGTCGTCAGGTGGGATAGAAGACGAACGCCGAAATGCCGGCGAGACATGCCCTCTATTGCATTCTGAGTGTAAGAGTTGGGTAACTAGCTTTCCCTTTTTTTCTTTTTTTTTTTCTTTCCTTTCTTCCTCTTCTCTTCCTCTCCCTCCTACTCATTCTGCTCCATACCACCTACTACCTACCTGCCCTTCCCTCTGCCGTGACAAAGCGACATGTTTTGAGTGGTGCAGTTGCTATCGTAGGGTGGCCTAAGCTCCCGTCCCAGCCCCAGGGCAGGTAAGGTCCGCCAGAGGTAAGGTATCCCCCCACCCCACCTTGTACCGCGGTACGCAGCCCACCTGCACCTCGCGCTCACACACCCCATCTACCCCTCCCCCTCTTCTGCCACCACATCTCCCATCTTGCACCATGCCAGCAAGCCTACGCAGCTCATCTCGCTGCATCTCCTTCCTCGACATGCAAGTACCTGGGTACTTATAGCCCTGGCTACATACCTTTACTTCACGCTAGTAGCTGGAGACAAGGTCCCCTCCATGACGACGAGGGGTGTCGTGCTTCTTGTCGCCAGTCGGTTTCTCACCAGTCACACAGTCAACAAGGTCCATGCCCATCCAGTCCAGTCCAGTCCAGCCCAGTCCACTAACAGCAATATCCCGCGCAGACGTCGGCTTTTCTCACGTTGCCAGCTTTAGGTTGGTCTGAACTGGATGGACACGACCTCGGATGGATCTGCTCTTCGCTCGGGGTGAACCTACAGGGAAACAGAAAAAAAAAAAAAAACAACCCTAGGACCACGGACGAGGGGGACTGTTACTCTACTTACCTCCTGGGAAACTATGTGAGAAGGGCATTGTCTTGTGTACCAGCTCCCGCAGACTAGACCAACTCAGATAGCATAAATGCTCTTGTCCCTCGAGCTTCTGTTCATCCCGTCCCTCTTCTCTTCCTCTTCTCGTCCTCTGTCTTCTGTCCACCCGGCTGCTTCTATTGTTGCTGCCGCGTACTTACTTAGTACTCTAGTCGTTTGCGCTCCCCTAGATACCACTACTACGCATCCACCGTCTTAACTCTCCTCCCCCCACCATTACCACTGCAACCACCGATACCCACATCCACTTCCCTTCGGTCGGACGGGTGTAAGAGCAAAGGAGATACAGAAGTAGAAAGCTGTGCTGTTACTGAGGCTCTCTTACCACCCGGGAAAAAAGAGCAAGCAGGTTCTCTATAGTTATCCCTTGTCTCTCGCTCGTCGACCTTGTCGAATCGAACACCGTCGGCTCAACTTCTCAGCCCACCACCACACGGCGCATTTCTGCTTCGGTGCTTCGGCTCATCTGGACTCAGTGCCCCCTGGCCCTTGTACCCGCCGCCGCATCTGCTGCTGCTGCGCCTGATCTGCACCTGAAAGACAGGCGCCCCAGAGACCAGACCACCCCAAGCAAGCGGAACGTCCGACGAGCTTGTTGCGTCTAAAGCTTGGGATTGAGAACCTGGGAGAACCCCACCAAGCCAGACCAGACCCAAACCAAACCACCCCGCCAACCGAGAGCCGACGCAATTGTCTCGCACTTGAGACCTCAACAGCTTTCCCTGCTCCTCGGCCCCCTTCAAATTGGGCCGTCGCTGTTCTTCTCATCTTCTTCATCCTTCTTCTTTTCTTCCTCACACCTTCCCACAAGCTGCACAGTCGCCCAACATGGCCCAGACGCAGCCTACCTTCAACGATGTCTTCGAGGATGGCGACGTCGAGGAGGTCCCCAAGGACCCCCAGACCATCCACCACATCCGCGCCAACTCAAGCATCATGCACCTGAAGAAGATTCTGGGTAAGCTTGATCTTCTACGATAGGTTCCAGAGGCCTGTCGAAATCCCTTGGTTATTTCCGCAAGAACCGTGCTGACTGCGTCTTCACTTTTCCTCCAGTCGCCAACCGTGGTGAAATCCGTAAGTACATCCATTTACCCGATTCTACTGACTCACACAAGCTAACCGCCAACTAGCCATTCGTGTATGTCGAGATTCCTCACCCGCTCAAGGTAATTGTCTATAACTAGAATGCTCACTTTCCAATGTGTTGTAGATCTTCAGAACTGTGAGTTGCCCCTCTCCCAAGGCAACACCATGCCAGTACCTTTGGTGACCTCACGTTGACACTTTTTGTAGGCCCACGAACTCTCATTGCACACCATCGCTGTCTTCAGGTAAAATACGCTTTCTGGGCTCAATCTGAACCTCGCATACTAAGTCTCACAGTTATGAGGACCGTCTCTCCATGCACAGACAAAGTATGTTCCGATTTGCACTTCTTTTTCGTCATTCTTTTCTAACCACTATTCTACAGAGGCCGATGAGGCATACGTCATTGGCAAGCGAGGCCAATACACCCCGGTCGGTGCTTATCTAGCTGGAGACGAGATCATCAAGATTGCCGTCGAGCACGGCGCCCAAATGATTCACCCAGGTAGAAGCTCTGGATCCTTATCGATTTTGACATGCGCTAATAAACCGCCAAAGGCTACGGCTTCCTCTCAGAAAACGCCGAGTTTGCGCGCAACGTTGAGAAGGCCGGTCTGATTGTAAGTCAAGTCGCAACCTACCCTAAAATCTGACATGTCCACTGACTCGGGGCGCGTTTTAGTTCGTCGGACCTACTGCCGATGTCATTGACTCGCTAGGCGATAAGGTCTCCGCCCGAAAGCTCGCTATCGCTGCCGATGTCCCCGTCGTCCCCGGTACCGAAGGCGCTGTTGCCACCTTCGAGGAGGTCAAGAGCTTCACCGATCAATATGGTTTCCCCATCATCATCAAGGCCGCCTATGGCGGTGGTGGTCGTGGTATGCGTGTCGTGCGCGAGCAGGAGAGCTTGAAGGAGTCTTTCGAGAGAGCCACCTCCGAGGCCAAGTCTGCCTTCGGCAACGGAACCGTCTTCGTCGAGCGATTCCTGGACAAGCCCAAGCACATTGAGGTCCAGCTTCTTGGTGACAACCACGGTAACATCGTGCACCTGTACGAGCGTGACTGCTCAGTCCAGCGCCGCCACCAGAAGGTCGTTGAAATTGCACCGGCAAAGGACCTTCCCCAGGAGACTCGCGATGCCATTCTCGCCGACGCCGTCAAGCTGGCCAAGTCCGTCAACTACCGCAACGCCGGTACCGCCGAGTTCCTGGTCGACCAGCAGAACAGATACTACTTTATCGAGATCAACCCCCGTATCCAGGTCGAGCACACCATCACCGAGGAGATCACGGGTATCGACATTGTGGCCGCTCAGATCCAGATTGCCGCTGGTGCTACCCTGCAGCAGCTTGGCCTGACTCAGGACCGCATTTCCACCAGAGGCTTCGCCATTCAGTGCAGAATCACCACTGAGGACCCCGCCAAGGGCTTCTCGCCTGACACTGGCAAGATTGAAGTCTACCGTTCTGCCGGCGGTAACGGTGTCCGCCTCGACGGTGGTAACGGTTTCGCCGGTGCCGTCATCACCCCCTACTACGACTCCATGTTGGTCAAGTGCACTTGCCACGGCTCAACATATGAGATTGCCCGGAGAAAGATCCTCCGTGCATTGGTTGAGTTCCGTATCCGCGGTGTCAAGACCAACATTCCTTTCCTTGCCTCTCTGCTCACCCACCCCACATTCATCGACGGCAACTGCTGGACGACCTTCATCGATGACACTCCTCAGCTGTTCGACCTCATTGGCAGCCAGAACCGTGCCCAGAAGCTGCTCGCATACCTTGGTGACGTTGCTGTCAACGGCAGCAGTATTAAGGGTCAGATCGGTGAGCCCAAGTTCAAGGGCGACATTATCCTGCCCGAACTCCTCAACGAGGACGGTAGCAAGGTCGATGTCTCTCAGACCTGCAAGAAGGGCTGGAGGCAAATTATTACCGAAGAAGGCCCCAAGGCATTCGCCAAGGCCGTTCGCGACTACAAGGGCACGCTGCTCATGGACACAACTTGGCGTGATGCTCACCAGTCGCTGCTGGCTACCCGTGTGCGAACTGTTGATCTTCTGAACATTGCCAAGGAGACTAGCCACGCCCTGTCCAACCTGTACAGTCTGGAGTGCTGGGGAGGTGCCACTTTCGATGTCGCCTACCGCTTCCTCTACGAGGACCCTTGGGACCGTCTGCGTCGCATGAGAAAGGCTGTCCCCAACATTCCTTTCCAGATGTTGCTTCGTGGCGCGAACGGTGTTGCCTATTCTTCCCTTCCCGACAACGCCATCGACCACTTCGTCGAGCAGGCTAAGAAGAACGGTGTTGATATCTTCCGTGTTTTCGACGCCCTGAACGACATTGACCAGCTCGAGGTCGGTATCAAGGCCGTCCACAAGGCCGGTGGTGTTGTTGAGGGTACCGTGTGCATTTCCGGTGATCTCTTGGTAAGTACTTTCCTTCTCGCAATTTGAAATATCCACTAACTTGTATACCCAGAACCCCAAGAAGAAGTACAACCTCGAGTACTACCTCAACCTGGTTGAGAAGCTCGTCGCCCTTGATATTCACGTTCTCGGAATCAAGGACATGGCTGGTGTACTGAAGCCCAGAGCTGCAGAGCTTTTGGTCGGCTCGATCCGCAAGAAGTACCCCGACCTCCCCATCCACGTCCACACCCACGACTCTGCTGGTACGGGTGTGGCCTCCATGGTCGCTTGCGCCAAGGCTGGTGCCGACGCTGTCGATGCCGCCACTGACAGCTTGTCTGGCATGACTTCTCAGCCTAGCATCAACGCTATCATTGCCTCTCTCGAGGGCAGTGAGTTCGAGACTGGTCTGAACCCCGCCCACGTTCGCGCTCTGGACTCGTACTGGTCTCAGCTGCGTCTGCTCTACTCTCCGTTCGAGGCTCACCTCGCTGGCCCCGACCCTGAGGTCTACGAGCACGAGATTCCTGGTGGTCAGCTCACCAACATGATGTTCCAGGCATCTCAGCTGGGTCTCGGAACTCAGTGGGCCGAAACCAAGAAGGCGTACGAGCACGCCAACGATCTTCTCGGTGACATCGTCAAGGTCACGCCCACTTCCAAGGTCGTTGGTGACCTCGCTCAGTTCATGGTCTCCAACAAGCTTTCTCCCGAGGACGTCAAAGCCCGCGCTTCCGAGTTGGATTTCCCCGGCTCCGTCTTGGAGTTCCTGGAGGGTTTGATGGGCCAGCCGTACGGCGGATTCCCTGAGCCTCTCCGTTCCGACGCTCTCCGCGGCCGCAGGAAGCTCGACAAGCGCCCTGGTCTGTTCCTGGACCCCGTCGACTTCGCCAAGGTCAAGCGCGATCTGCACAAGAAGTTCGGCGGCCCCGTCACTGAGTGCGACGTTGCCGCGTACGTCATGTACCCCAAGGTCTTTGAGGACTACAAGAAGTTCATCCAGAAGTATGGCGACCTTTCGGTTCTGCCGACCAAGTACTTCCTGTCTCGTCCCGAGATTGGCGAGGAGTTCCACGTCGAGCTCGAGAAGGGCAAGGTCCTCATTCTCAAGCTTCTTGCCATCGGCCCTCTCAGCGAGAACACTGGCCAGCGCGAGGTCTTCTACGAGATGAACGGCGAGGTCAGACAAGTCACCGTCGACGATAACAAGGCCTCCGTCGAGAACGTCAGCCGACCCAAGGCCGACCCCTCCGACTCCAGCCAGGTCGGCGCCCCCATGGCCGGTGTTCTTGTCGAGCTCCGTGTCAAGGACGGCTCCGATGTCAAGAAGGGCGACCCCATTGCTGTTCTCAGCGCCATGAAGATGGTGAGTTTCTTTTACCCAGTTCCACACAACACTTGCCACGAGCCTCGATTGCTAACAAAGTTCCCAGGAAATGGTCATCTCCGCGCCGCACAACGGCAAGGTGTCTACCCTCCAGGTCAAGGAAGGCGACTCTGTCGACGGTTCCGACTTGGTTTGCAGGATTGTCAAGGCTTAAAAAGACATGGGAAATACAGGAAAGCGGCAAACTTGATTTTTTCTTTTCTTTTAAATCTCTTTTTTTTTTCTCGATCTTTTAGCAACATCACGAAAAAAACCCTCATGGATGCGACACGTTAATGTCTGGGGCGCGGACGTATGGGAGATTACCCGGCAGTTTTGAATTTAAGCTCTACTTAGAAGCAACATTATGGTCATGACTAAAGATTCTTATGCTCTGTGTCTTGTCTGTGCCTCGTCATGTTAATTGGACAAAGTGTCGGGCTGGCCGGTTTCGTGTGACTTGTCGTCGTCGTCGTCGTCGTCTTGGGGTTAGTAATATCGCCGCAGCGAACACCAATCTCAAAGCCAGTCATTGCCTGAACCAGGTTTGATTAGTCTATGACCCAGCCGCCATAGCCCTTCATCGTGGTGTTTTACAAGTACACAAAGGTCTTCCGAGTGCCGTCTCTGTCCCGTTCGGCAGCAAGCCCCGTGGTGCGAAAGATCTCTTTTTTGGATTTGTCTCTCTGTGTTTGTGTGTCGTGATTGATAAACCTCACCTCTAGTCACCAGTGACCTAACCACTTTACTCCTCCATCTTGTCATCATCCTTCTTGTCCTCGTCATCATCATCGTCACCCTCGAGCGCCTTCTTGGCTAACCGTTCTGCCTCCTCACGCAGCTCCTTCGGCACCTCCTCGTGACGACCCTTGGTAGGGCCGTTGACGTCGCTGATCCAGCTCATCTCGAGCTCAAATTCCTTGTCCTTGTTGTCGTCGTGGGCGACGTAGATGATACGTGCAGCCTCCTTGACGGCGTCCTTGAGTGTCAGACCGCCCTCGGCGAGATCAAGCTTCTCAAGCTCAGCCTTGGCCGCCTGACGACCCTTGCCAGTGGCAGCACCATAGTAACCCCAGTAGAGACCCGAGGGCTCGATCATGTACAGGAAGGGACCGCCGTGGGTCTTGGAGGTGTCCTTGCCGCCAGCGCCCACCTTGGGGCCGGAGCCGACCTCACCATCGACGGGGGACTCAACGGAGGGGTCGAAGCCGCCAACGATTGCGGTTATGCCGAAGGGGCGAACGGATGAGTAGAGAGTGTAGGCTTGGAGGTATCCGCCCATGCGGGCGGCGAGGTCTGCGGTGGGAATGGGGGTCTTGAAGGTGTCGCGCCAACCACGGGCTTCTTCGCGGGCACGGTCGACGAAGTGACGGCCGTCGGGTATCATGCCTGAGTAGACCTTGGTTCATTTGTCAGTTCAAAGTATAAGGCCAAATGAATGTTTAGGAGCTGGATATATGTAGATGCAAGTGAGGGGTTGCTTGTTTGCCGAGGGAGGTTGTCTTACAGCACCGAGATGCCTGTCAATGGTGGCGATGCGCTTGTTGGCGTTAGGCTTCCATAGCTTGGAAGTGATGACCTTTTCGACGGCGAGGACAACACCTTCCTTGCAGCGGATGCCGATGGATGTGCCGCCGTTCTCAACAGCCTTGACAGCATACTCAACCTGGAAGTTGCGGCCGTCAGGAGAGAAGATGGAGTTGCTCAAATCATAGCCTGTTCCTATCGACGTCTGTAGAGCAAGAGGTAAGCGTATGCCATTCAGTGGTGGTAGCTCGAAGCATGTGGTAGGATGGTGATAGCTCCCAACATCCCGGTCGTCCACCTTTGAGACCGGATCCTAGCAAGGGAAAGCTTACCATTGTGAATTAGGGAGGGGGTTTGGGTATTGGAAAATGAGGGTGAGTTCGTCAAGAAGGTAACTCGGTCGTCGTTTCGGAAGGTCGTGACGTGGTGCAGGTCGAGGATGATTGTTTGTGGAGGTTTGAGTGTTGGTGGTGGTGGTGGAGGATGACGATGCGGGACGTGGTTTGGAATTGGGGAATCTGGAGCCTTGAGATCTAAGCTTCAGGCAACCTGAGAGCTGCGTGTTGCTGCGCGAGGTTGACGGCGAGGCTAGACGTAAGGGTGCCTCAGGTTGACAACGGGAAGGAAGCCTGGGGGTAGCTTCAAGCTACCTGGAGGAAGGTGTGAGATTAATAAGAGCAGCCACACGTGGCGCGGGAGGAGGCTCAGGTGAAAAGATTAGATAAGCCAGTTGAAGATGGCCAGCAGTGACAGTGACAAGGTGTATTTGATTACCCCACCATCCCGCACATGAACCTGCAGTGGACTGCAGCTGCCAGCGCTGGAGAGGAGTTGAATTATGGAGGGGCATACACGGGCAGGCATGTCGCGATTTACGGCACCTGAGTTTCCTTGTTCAGCATAATAAAAGGTGAAATAAAAAAAAAACGAAGGGTTCCCTGTTGACATCTTGCTTGTTTTTTGTTTTTAGATTAATCTGACAAATACAACTAGCTGATGGACTCTGTCTAATCACAAAGCCTTGCAAAAGACTTCTGTCAGAAAATTGTCGCATTACGTTGACACCGACAGTCCGGATCCTCAAAGTCCAGGCCCGGATGGATTCGGCGAAACATGTTGGGACGGGGATGTCGAGGGAGCGGTGTGGAAGCACTAGACTGGGCCAAAGGTAGCCCAGGTGTTAAGCAAGCACTTTGTTGAGCCGTTTTGTGAAATAAGATGTTTGTGAAACAGTATTGAATAGGGTTTCCAGTGCGCTTTAATATGTAACAAGTTCATCAGGAACTGCTATCATCATTTCCCTAGGTGCAGAACGAGATCGGAGGCGTCCAGAGTGCGCATATGATGCCGAGTGGACTCATGTGTGTCACGGGAAACCCGTTTGATACCTCCGTGTCTTCCAGAAGCTGGGTGGACTGATCGTGTCACTGATCCATTGGGCGACAGTTGCGGATCTGGGAGAGCATATGTTTCAAGTCGCCATGTCTTGCCGGGTCTCTTACTTTTAGTTGCAGGGCAGGCCTTCCACCATCATGTTGGTAGATATCTAATTCACGGGCTTATCTGCTGATCGGTAGTTTTGTTAATGTCCACCTTCACGAGAAAATGGCAACATGAGCCATTTCTCTCAAGAGCGCAGGCAGGCAAACAGGGGTTCAAACGGTTCCAGGCAAGCATTCCGGCCTGACGGACCAAACCATTGGGCGTTAGCGCTGTTGGTGGTGATGGATGATGAGGTGGTGATGTGTGGAGGCGCCTGGCCTGGCACCTGGCAAGCCGCACCGGTAGGTTAGGTAGGTACGGGCAGGAACCGGTCGCTGGCCCAAAGCGCTCAGCGCATCTTTCCACTGGACTTTCTCTCTGGTAGCGGAACATGGAGGGCAGGGTCGACGGGTAATGGCCAGTGAATTTGCGTCACATTGCCCTGTCTGCGTCATGACATTGTTCGCTAGCTGCCCCTCCTTTCTTAATTTCCCCCTGCCAGGCCAGGCCCGGTGTCCCTCCCTTGGCCGTTCCCCTCCTGCCCTCCACTCTTCTCTCCCCTCCTTCCCTACAAGCCCAAAAATGGTGACTCTTTTCGCCATATAAAGACCAAACCACCCTCAACGCTCGACTATTCTGCACAATCTTGCAATTTTTTGACACCCACTGATTATTGCTTTTGATAAAGACGATATCCTGTCGGCCGTTGCCTTCGAACCGAACCAAGTTTGCCCTCGCCGTCAAACGTTCGACTTCGAGAAATCTCACCCCACCAGCTAGCTAGCCAACCCACTGCTGCATCGCTAACTTGTTGGCATCACATCCGTGCCCTCCCTCAACCCCAACCCTGCCACCAACTATTGCTCTCTTCCTGCCCAAGGGAACAAACATCAAAGGCCGAACCATCCCTCCGACCGTTACTTCCTTTTCTTCTAGCTACTGTCGCTTTTTTCTCCCACTGAACCGAGTCTGCTCCTGATTATCACGGAAACCAACCTCATCATTTGAGGCCACGATTTCTCTCGCGTAAATAGCATAGCCAATATAAAACAGTTTTGGTTTTTTTACTACCGCGTGCCCACGCCCCCAAGCCGATTTACCCCCTCAAGAAAAGAACAAGAGCAAGGTCAGGAGACAGTATTTTACTGCTTCTTTTACTCCGCCAGCAGCTTCACTTTCACAGCGAACAGAACAACGACTCTTTGGCTAAATCACCAGAAATTACACGCAACGCTAAAGAAGGCAAGTCTTGTTCCCCTCAGCCAACTCCGGCCCCATCTAATCATACTGCCCCTGCCCCGGTCCCGTCGCCTCGGAACCCCACGGGCTTTTGTCGGTCATGGTCTCGACAACGTATTCAGGCTTCGCTAAGCTGCAAGTATAACAATAAAATTTACTAACCAAGATTTCAGGAAGATGGTTTCATTCCAGCCAACCATGCAGGTCCAAGATGACCTTGCAACCCTCTTTTCCCGCAACCTGACTTTCAACCCTGAAGTCCAGAGTCAGGCCCCGGCCAAGGTGGAAGAGGAGCTTAAGCAGCAGACCCCAGACCCCACCCCCACCAATGCCGCGCCAACTCCGGCCGCAGCTCCCATTGTCTACTCCATAACCCAGCACTACAACCACTCCGCGCATCTCGCTCGCCAGCAAGAGCCCCAACAAGAGATTCAGCGTCCCTCCTCTGAGCCTCCCCAGACTGAGCAGATTACTCCCGAGGCTGTGCTCAGCCAGCACGGCGTTGACCCGTCCGTATTGTCCCCTGCCCAAATCCAACTCTTCCGAATCTCCGAGGAACCCCACCAACTGCGCTTGATCGAGCTCTGGTGCGCCGCCCCGCCTACATCGAGCAACGACAACCCCTCCCTGGCATGGACAAGCACCACACTTGAGCAGGAAGAGCAGCTGGCACGCATGCGGTACGAGCGCACAGAAGCTGAGAAGCAACAGCAGCAAAATGCGGTTATGAGCCTCGACGGAACTCAGGTCCAATCTGACGATGGTCGTTGGCTTGCGAGCTCTATCTCCCATCACGTTGAGCCCTACATGATGTCTGGCTACGAGGAGATGATGCGCCGTGAGTATGAGCGGGAGCAGAAGCGTGAGCGTGAGCGTGAGGAGGCTGAGCTCCGCTTCTCCGGCAACAATTACTCCCATTACGGATCCGCCATTGGCTCAACATATAAGCCGGCCACCGACCCCGTATATAAGGGTTTTGGGGATGACTGGGCCCGTGAGCAGCAGATGCAGATGGAGAACCAGTATGGTGCTTTCCAACAATTTGGTGGTCCGACAGGGAACTTGGAGGCCATGGAAATCTTGTGAGCAAGGCTACGTACATACTTTCTTTTTTCTTCAGCATAGCAGCAGCAGATACCAGTTAGACTGCATGACGGATCGGAACCGGATGGAAGAGGCAGTGTTTGGGACGCCTTAATACGGAAGTTTTGTTTTTTGTTGGCAACTTTATGGATTGGGATTGGGCTTGGACACCATTATTTAGGTACGAGGAACGAACAGAATTATCAGAAACAAGAAAATGAACAATTCCAATGTGCAAATACATATATCCTATTGTGATGGGTGGGCAGACTTTAGTACTCTGTTGTGCTTTGTTTGGTTGAAAGAGATTCATTCCCCCAAGCTTTCGCTAGTAATTTTGTTCAAACCCTGATTATTGGTAGCTATTATAATCGTTGTCAAGTAATCTCACTGCTATCATACATTAGATGCTAATTTCACCCTCTCCATTATGTCTCATGATTTTCTCGGCTTTTTTGGAAAGCCATAAAATGCTGAATATTTGGAAACGGGCTGTCTGCAAACCCTTCCTCATACATCCTTTGTGGTTCATCAACAGGATACGCCGACCCATGCTCCCCAATCCTTTTTTATTTCTCTTTGTTTTTTTTGAAATTATAAATAACGTACGTGAAATGATATCTCGCTTGTACGCTGGGTATATGTCCATGATCGTAGCGTTATGATGTCAGTAGAGTCGTATAGGTGTTATCCCCAGTGGAACGGGGTGTTGGATATGACATTTGTTTTAAAGGGCTGAGCAGGCCGTCATGATTTCGAGCTCGGGTTCCCAGGATGTCGCGTCATTTTTGATGAAAGCCACTGCGCGGAATCCATCCCCCCGGGCACGTTGACCTGCCATACTGGAGGCGGACTCGGGATCGGTATATCGCCGGAAGAGGGTGGTGCCAAAAATCGGCTATGATAGCTGCTGGTGCGGGTAGTGCGGCTGAAGCGGTCGGCCTTGCTTTGCTTCGCCGTCGCTGTTGACATCCTACTGTCCCTTTGGTGATCGCTGCGACTTTCCCTGTTCTTAGCGTTGGTCATACCGCTCACCCTGCTCCCCCTGATATTATTGAAGCCCCATGTCGCCGTGGACATTGTCGACTCGCGGTTAGCTATGGAGGCATTGCTGCCGCCGAATCCCATTGAAAGAGCTGACATGCGTGGAGACACCCAGTTCACAGTGGGAGGAACTGAAGAGGCTAGTGGTGCGAGGCTCACGCCTTCTTCTAAGTCAGGTTCACGCTCTTCATCACCCTGGAAAGTTGTTAGGCTGGGTTGAACATCAGTGAATCAAGGGGAGGGTGGGAAATACATTGCGCGTCGGTGCTGGGGCGAGCCATTCGGCACCGTTCTCGTCCTGTCGTGGTGTCACAAGGTCTTGCCCGTCCTCTTCGTCGCGTGGCCTTGGGTATGCTATATCAAATGTTTTGCTGAGCCCGCTCCTACGTGAAGGCGCACTTGAAGCGGCAGGTTCCTCGGGGGCTTTGATACGAGGCAACTCCGCTTCAAAATCGGCTTGAAAGTCAGGGTCCATGCCGTCCAGTGGGGCATCATCTGAGAGACGAAAACGACCGTTGTACTTGCGGCCGCCAGACTCTTCGCTACGAACGTAGCTCGGTCTTCCATTCAATCGCTCGCGCCAAACCACGGCACGGGGAGCATGAGACTTGACGCCCGCGCGGTACCACATTACTTCCCAAAGAGGACGGAGGGTGGCAAGCGAGGCGGCTGTAATGCCGATACCGGGTTCGACGGTGCTCCAGAAGGCGATGTCAGTAGTTGCCCAGAGGAAATCTTCGCCATCGAGGAGAGTCGGGATGAAGACGGCTCTAACGATGGTGGCGGCACAGCCGATTGCGGCGAAGGAGAGGATGCCAAAGGCAAGGAGACGAGTGCGTAAGGGGAGCGAGAGAGACCAGACGATGAAGAGGGGTAGAACGCCGAAAGAACAGTCTGCGAAGCAGTTGATGATGGAGGCTGTGTAGGTCATGATGACGACGACGCGGTCGCTGAAGCATTTACCTTCGACGCGGGGGGACTCCTCCCAGAAAGTATTGGCGGGAACGCACTGGAAGGTGACCATGAAGAAGTAGGTCGTGCCAAAGAGGGCGGTCCCGAGCATAAGGAGGCGAAGAATCCAGATGTGAGAGCGTCGGACGGAGACGCGCAGGAGGAAGAATCCGACGGAGATCTTGAGGAGACACGTAGAAACTATATAAAGAAGCTCGCAGATGTACCAATACTGAAGAATGTCAGTAAAATGCTCAGGGATCAACGGTTGGTGATAGGCCATACCATTAGGGCTTCCCGGTAATGCTCCGGTTCGAGGTCAGCTCTGTGTCGTCCGGTACCATTCTGAACGCCTTGTATCTGGAATATGAGGTAGACGGTGAATATGAGCTGTGAGTAATGTCAGTCGCCAGTTTCGATCATCCAAGCAGGGGTCAGCAAGTACCATAAGAGCGATCATGAACTTGTCGTCCATGCCAAAGGAGCGAATGATCCATGCACGGCAATACACGCGCGCGGCAACGACGGTCCAACATAGCACGAAGAAGAGGACCGCGACGGCCAGAACTTGCCCGCTGCGATCCTCCATTATGCAAGAAGCATACACAGGCTTAACCTTCTCTTCTCTCGACAGGCAATCGTTCTCTGTCGTTGTTCCTTCTTCGTTCACCTGCACATTATGACGAGAGTGGCATTTGACCGTCGGGTCTGAGGCGACAGTGTGGGATGTAGAGTATGATCCGGAATGGCGGGACAATAACCGGGAAAGGAGAACAATTAGAAGGGGAAAGGGGACCCTTCAGGGTCGGGGGGCTGCTGCTGGGTATACATATCGTGGATCTAAAGCCGCTCGGTCTCAGTCGGAATCAAACTTAGGGGCAGGAGGCCTGATATCCCAACGAGCGTGACAGTAATAAGAATAGCTCAGCGACCCCCTCCCCCCCCCTTTCACTATGCCCGGAATCCTAGGGCCGAGTGATGAGCTTTTGAGACGACCTGATCTGGCCGCCACAGTCGACGCGTTGGTGGCGGACGGAACCGTCGCCGCTCGTCCACTAGGACGGTAGACCAATCTCCGACGCCCCCCTTCACTTGAAGAAACACACAAGTTGTGCGTAGAATGAAGTGGACTCATTCAGTCGCGAAGTCTGTAGGAAAAACACGTCCAATGGATTAGGGGACACCTGTAAGGGTCGCGTCTAGGCAGTATAGGGGTAAGACATTGAGGGGTCGTATGAGGTACCTGGACACCAGGATAGAACAAAACATTCCCGCCAATAAGCAGCGGCTGGTAGCGTAGGCCGCGTTCTCAATTAAGATAGGGTTTGTGGTTAGTGGTTGAGCTGGCGTCGTCGACGACGTCGGCGAACAGACGCTAAGCGCACAAGCGGCAGTAGAGCCAGCAGGGAAGCGTCGACCTGAGGTATACCAGGCACCGCGGAGCCAGGGACCAGAACGATCATGCGGCTTGAGCGTTTGCTGAGTTTGGTTGCTGTGCGGCGCGCTCAAGCCCTTACTCGTCTTTTTGGCGACGAGAGATCGAAGAAGGCTGGGGCCACTTGGCGTTCTGCTTTTGTTTCTTTTGGGTATAAACCCAGGAACGCCTGGTCTGTTATTGGTCGTCTCCCTTGTTTCAGGGCGACACCTCGAGGGGAACGCAGGGCAAAAACCTTTTGGTGGACGAAGAAGGCAAAGACAAGAGAGGCAGCTGAGAACGAGACTAATTCAGAATAGCCTTACGGCGGGACACGACGATCAAAATGTTTCTTATTTTTTCCCCCACATGGGAACGATAGCTAAAAGGCCAGCCATGTAGAAGTTCATGGCAAGATGGGTAAAGAGAACATGAGTGAACAACCTCTTCAGCAACACTGACTTTGCGGTAGTAACAAAATCATGGAAAAGAAACGTTACAGGGCTAAACATGCCGAGACAACAAGAAACTCTATCGCAAACTCAAGCGGGGCATCCTTGATAGTTAGGAATGTTCAGAATAGGAGGCACAACCGACCTGAGAGCCCTAAATTCCAACGCGAAGCATCCAGCACGGGAGTGTGTGAAGGGATCCCCCGCTCCCTTCCAGTCAGAATAGGAATTTTGAGCACCCGCAGCATGCATGATGCTGATGCTGACAAAATCACAAAGAATAGAGAGACGAGAGCCATGCACAAAAACAAACGTGAGTATGCATTGATATATAATATACGTATGTCATGAGAGAGAGGAAGACCACAACTTCGTGATGGATCATACACCTTTGTATCGCATGTCTGATCCTTGCCAGCCATCAAGGCCACAGAGTCTGTTCACTAGGCACGAAGATGAAGAAAGAAACAGGAGACCAGTCTGCCAAGGTCCCTGTCTCCCACAGACGTCCCTTATCACCGCTTCTTGTTCTTGCGCTTGTTGGCCTTGCCGCTCTGAGCACCACTGGCCTTAGCCTTGCCCAGAGAATCAGTTGACTTTTCCAAAAGTTCGAAGTCTTCAGCCGCCGAGTCGGAGCTGGGCGTGTGTTGGGCGGGCGCGCCGTCATCGGAGTCCAGTTCCTCGGTCTCAAAGTCCACCTCCTCGGTATTCTTGTTAAGGACGCGGCCGATGGTGCGGTTGTAGGCCCAGATGGGGAGGCGGACGAGCGCGGTATCTTGGATGGTGGGCTGCGGCAGCTCATTGGGCTAGTCTGAGTTAGCAACGTCCGAGATGTTATATGTAGCGGGTTCAAGTGCTTTTCAAGCTCTGAATCGACATCAGGTGGCGCACTTACATCAAGTAGGAACTGTTCCACAACACCCTCCTCGTTCTGTTCCTCGAGGTATACATCGCCGACGGAGTCAACCACAAGGATTTTGCCATTCTCGGCAACAACGCGCTTCTTGGAGCCGGTAGGTCCAGACTGGACAACCGGGGTCTCGCGGGGAGTAGCGGTGCCGCTGCTAGCTGCCTTCCGGCCGCGGCCTCCACGCTCCTTAGCGGCTTCCCTGCGGAGGGCCTGCTCCTGCATGCGGCGTTCCTTGCGGTTTCTCGGCACCGGGGGAGCGTCCTCGTCGTCATCGGCAGCCGGAGCGGGAGCAGGGGCCGGGGCGTCATCAATACCGGGGATGTTCAAGTTGTCACCCCATGCAGCATTGCGCGCAAACTTAATGTAGCGCTCGACAAAGTCCCTCTGTCGCTTCCAGGACATGTACAGCGCCAGGTAGTGGAAGGCACCTCCAGCAACGAGGAACACACCAAACAGGACGGTGCCCAGACCAGGACGGTACCGGTTGTAGTAGTAGTTGGTGCCCTTCCAGGCAGGGAAACCGTTGCGGAGGAAATGATCGTAGCGATCGCGATCAGGGCCGCTGAGGATGTTACGTACGAGACCAAGGCGAGCCTGGCGCTCCGAGGCAATTTTGACGGCGGCCTTGATCTCCTTCTGGGTCGGGGGCTTGGAGACATTGACGCCGGGCTTCTTGTCCTTCTTCTCCTTCTTCTTGGCCTTGGCGCGCTCGGCGATGAGCTGCTGACGGACCTTGTCAGGGTGGAGAGTGCGGGAGATCTTGCGGTAAGCCTTAGTGATCTCGTCAACGGAGGCACCGTTCTTAACGCCCAAGAGGTCGTAGAAGGTCATGTCGGTGTTCGGCTCGTGTGCCTTGATTTCATCGCGAATGCGGAAGATCTCGCGATCTATCAATTGGTTGTCCCTTCGTTAGCTGTTGTTGTTGTTGCACCAGTTTGGGTACTGCAGGCGCATTTTTCTGTTTTGCCATTTCGACTTACCTTCCTTGCTCCAGGCCGCAGTCAGCGGCGACAGCAGGGCCAAAAGGCCGAGAGACAGGACGCTGAATCTCATCCTTGCATAACCGAATCCAAATTATTTTCCTTAAACAGGACGAGGAACGGCGCGCAGACGGCCGAAGTATGGGAGAGTCTCGGTGTAGGGTGCCAGACCAAAGCCTGAGGATGCCAGGTGTTAATAGCTTGAGCTTCCAATTGACGTGGGGAGAGCATGTGCTGTGGAGCTGCCAGCAGAGCACAAACAGGACAGCAACACTGCCAGCAAAGTAAACGTACCTCTATCCCTTTCTATCTTTCTCTGTTTCCTCCAAATACCTCCAGAACTGATTGCTGTAGAAAAATCCCGAACTTCGAAAGAAAGGGAAATTTTCCCAGAAATTGTGTATGGGAGATGTGGTCACTTTGGGAAGGGAATCTCAAAGGAGATGGAATTTCCCGTTGGACAAGGGGAACTTTTTTTTTTTTTTTTTGCCTTCTACCGGGGTCGGAAAGCGCAAAGGGTCGCCCGCGGGGCTCAGGGGATTCTGTTTGCAAAAAGACTAAAAGGAGAAGGTTCCTGGACCGGGATGATTGCGCCGTCACGAATCGCACCAGTCTCTTTTGGGTCTAGATTGATCCAGATCTCTCTCCCTTAATTGTGCGACTTAAATTTCTTATATAAGCCAACCCTTTTGTCCCGAGGTGTCTAATCGGTCGCCAGGTGAGCTTCGGTGAGCTTTCTTTAACTCCGATCACTGAAAACAATACGTGAGATGAAAAGCTTCAGTAGGATATGTCACGGAACATTTCTCAATGTTTCTTCATGAAATAAACTGGAATGAATTTTAATATCATGAAGGAGTCAAACAAGGGGCAAGTCGAACAGGCGACCAACTGCAAAGAAGATAACACCTCTCTCAAGCAGGTGAAAGCTTTCGTCGAGTTAAACGCACATCGAGTTAAGTTCACTGCCTTTTTGTCAAGGTAAAAACTACCATCACTAATGCTCTTCTTACTCAGCCCTCTTTCTTGCCATTGGTATGGGGTCCGTCATCATAGCAACCTTCACCCAAAGTATAGAGACGAGTAATACCCCACAAAGCTCGGTTAAGTCTCTCCAAATCAATTTCTAAGTTCAACTATATTATGTTTCCATGTTTTGTTTCAACAACATGGCCCATTCCCCAACCCAAACCGGATTTATCAAAACAAACCCCCAAAGCAGGATGGAGCTTAGGATTCGACTATTGTGATTGCCCCTCTGCTCCATTTTCCTCCTGCAACCTACGCATATGATCCCAATATTGTGGCGGCCGCGGCTGCGGCTCCATTCTGCTGTGAAAAGTTATATGTCGAATGCTCGATGGCCCAAACAAGGACCCAAGGTTGAGGTTCGGTGAGAAATGCGGTCCAATCTGGCCCCGGCACAACAGACAATTCCACTCGGCCGCCCATGTCACATCTGTCTCCGGCTGATCGGCCAACGCTCTTCGGAGCGGCTTCTGTGCTAGCCACTTCTTCAGACACCGCCGTCCAATGTACTTCCTGCAGCACGGCATCTGCACCGGTTCGTGGCAGGGCGCATGGTCCCACGGCATCTGGCACACAGCACACTGGTGGTCTCCCTCCTGGTTAGCTTGCTCCGGAGTGGCTATAAGTGCCTGTGACTTGGCGTCGGCGGAGCGGTTACGCTCCGTGATGTCCCGTATCACAATCCGCCGGTTGCGGTCGATGACGTCTGCAAGCTGCGCCGTTGAGGTCGTAGACCTAGTAAGGTTCCGCATGATGGCGCTATTGCCGTCCAAAGGCCACTGCTCCTCTATTAGGTACACGCACTCCTGTAAGACATCACATGCCGCGAGGTCCGGGTCGAAGGCCTGCGGTTGCGGATGAGAGGGATGGGGGTAATGCTGCCTATTTGGCCAGGGGTTGAGAATCGCCAGAAGCGCGCCACCCAAGTACATCATGACCTCCTCGTCCAGCCCCGCATCACAAGCTAGAAACTGATACAGCCAGTCCAGCAATAGGTGGCGCCTGGCGAGTGAATCTCTCCAATTGTCCAGACCCAGCCAATGAATTCTTCGCGTCATGTAAGCTGCGTTAGCTGGATATTGTTGTGAGGTTGCCTGGCCCCGTTGGAGAAGCTCGATGTGGCATTGCTCCGATAAATGGTACAGCCTAGATAAGCGGCGGCCATACACCTCATTGCGGAGGTTTACGAATTCCATTTGTCTCAGTGGAAAGTCAACGTCCTCATATCGATTGTATATTTCCAATGCCCTCTGGCTCAGGCGCCAATCTTCGGTTATCACGCCATCTGCCACTTGTACAAGGATTGGACTTGACCAAAACTGACTGATTTCGCCGTTTGGTATATTGTTGATGTGATTCAAGACTGCCTTGGCCTCATTCTTTCGTATGGAGTACGCCAAGTTAGCGCGCCACTCTTCAAGTGTCGAGACACAGTCACAATCTTCTTCTTCGTGCCCAATGTGACTCATTCTTAGTTTGCAAAATGTTTCCGGCCAGACGTTTGAAATGGCATTAGTCCAAGCTACGCCCTGCCCAGGCATAGGATAAGGCTTGTAGAGGACCCACATCACCAGTTGGAGGAGATGGAGCAGGTAGTATTCCTTATACCCTTCAAATCTGACGTCAAGGGCTACGTCCCGTTCGTTTTCTGTGGGGATCCGGGGGTGAATGTCGAATTCCTCCAGGATGAGGTCGTGGTCTTCGACGTGAATGTCGATGTCGCCCGAACAGTTCGGGCAAACGCTGTTGATATACTGAATCTTGATCATATCTGAGGACAGATCAGCACATTGCCTGGCGTATATATGACTACAGCGTATCAAGTTCTTGATCCAGTGTATGTGCTTTCCATCTGGAACATTGTCACTTGGGTCATGGGCATTCTCTCTGTAGACGCCATCGTCTTCGGACAGCAAATGGTGGTTGGGTACTGCTGGTTTTGGCCTGGGGTGTGTTGCCACAAAATTGCCTGAATCTGGCAATTGCAGGAGATTAGGAGCTTTGGGGCAGAAATATCGGCGCCACAGTGTGATACACATTTCTTTTGCAACAGAGTGTTGTTTCGGTGACTGCTGTTGGGCTGCGCCGTCTTTAGAAGTCGAGGTTTTGGACTGGATGGTAGTCTGCGCAAGCCAAATTATCAGATTTAGGAGCTAGACTTGTTGTTTCAATGAAACATGTCACGAGCAATGGGTCTGTTGAATTTATCTTACTCGAGAGACGTATTCGTGTGCCACAAATAGAACAACCATCATTGGGTGGTATTCAGGGAAGCTTCAGATGAATGGGAACAATCATGTCTCGACCCATTCCATTCATTCATTCTAAGTCCATAGGTAGGGGCTTTTAGAACAACAAATGACTTATTATTGAAAGAAACTTTAACTCAAGGGAGGTTCTCGTACTTTGAGACTGCATTCTTTGAACAATTTTAAGCCCAGGTTCTGGTTAGATACGAAGACATCAAAGCTGCTCTGGCAACATTTTAATCTTTGATTAAGCTCGTATAATGGGTCTCAAGCCCTCTTTGATCCTTTTCACATCTGCGGCTTGCAATAATACCCCCTTCTTTCGTTCTGTATGTTGGTCCAAAGGAGGGAAGAACGTGTACTCAGAGTGTTGTGTAACATAGTTACCCTAGCTTAACCATCCAAATTGTCCGTTCCCAGCGCGTATGCCGCATTTTACTGCTTATAATGGCTATCGAACCTTGCGTATGAATATTCGAATTAATCTTAGGAGTTGGTGTGAAGCTTGTCGCCAAATTGTAGAACAACTTTAAGGTTGTGTTGAGGCTAACCTACATAAGATCTTCCCACTTCGAATGAAAGAAAAGAAAAAGAGTGACTGCACCAGATCAAGCATTTTATTTGCATATACTTGACTTTATGCTTGAAAATCCGAGGAAAATTTGATAAATTGAGTTCCCCTTTCGTGACATCAAAAGCGCGCAATAGCAATACGCACCTTACTCCGGAGCATACGGAGCAATGAGTCCCACATAAACGCCGGATCGGACGGTAATCGGCCCCACTCGGATATGACCCGGGACCGGCAACTGCCTAAAAGGGAAGGCCTTGCAGTTGTACAGTTGCATAATTTGGCCAACCTAGGCTTGAAACTTATTTTGATACAAATATGGCCGTGATGAGTATCCGTCTTTGCAAAAGGTTAAGTCTTCTTAAGTTAACGAAAACTTTCAAGGAGCAGATTTGTACCATAAGCCCATTGTATGCCTCCCATAAAGGCCGGACAGAAACGAATTGACTATGTACGTGGCCATGTTCCCGGCGGATAAAGTAAGGATGAGTTCTGTTTCCGAAACTCGAACAATAAAGGGGTTGTGAAGACCATCAAGCCTGGTTGAGACACAGGCAAGGTGGCCTAGCGGGATCTGAGTAGTCACATATTGCAGGTTGATCACTTACCATATGGCAGGAAGCAGGGTCGGTACTGGCAATCCAGCATGTTTCAGACAGTATATTTCAAATAAAGATCACGATAGGTAACTGAATATCGATACTGTCTTAGTAATTTGCGCTCATAACACCTTGATTCGAGGCAACGATACGCAAGCCGGGCCGAGTGCAGGGCCGAGGACCCAGCCAGTGGGCACTAAAGCTCTTCAACCGTATCTTTCCTTTCAAGGTCTCATACACCGAAGCGCAATATGGCCAAGGCACGAAATACTACGAAAAGAGAAGAGAGTCCACGGAGGAAGGCTGGAATATAGGCCGGCATCACTGGTTGCCATCCACCGCGCCCTCCTTTCGTCTCGCAGGCGACAATGAAAGTTATTACCTTCGATGAACATTGTCATTATTTGTTCTTGCGGACGCGTTTCAGTCATGTATAGCAAAAACGGTATACGGCAAACAAATTGCGCCCCCTCCCCTTTAAGAGATACATAAACCCATGGGTAAGATGTTGAAAAGCAGAACACTTACTTGTTCAACAACAACATATCACCCCTCACAGAACCTCTTCAGAAGTTCTAGCAATCATGAAAAATAAAGTCCGTCGAGTGGCCCGAAAGACCTACCTGACCCTACGCCGGTACATAAACCCCAAGAAACGACGCCAGTCTATCGCGATACCATACCCGTCTTCAATTTCAATGGCAGCCGATATCTCAACACCACGTCCACATACAGCCCCCGAGACGTCCTCGACTGAGTCGTTCTTCGATCTAGGACATGATGATCCTCTCCGCATAAATCCTGTGGTCCTCTTTGTATGCAACCCGGACCCGTATGAATCGTCTTCGGACGAGGAGACCCTAAAAGATCCACATGATGAGTCTCCTGCTGGAATTGTTGAGACGGTGGATGAACAGCCGAAGACCTTGGTTAAAGTTGTGGAAACTGTATCTATACGGCCTCTTCTCATCGGTCAAAAAACACCTAGTTGTCCGACTACGCCCAACGGCACGGAAAAGTTTGGCATCCACGCCGAAGAACTCCCTCCGACTCCTCGAGCACCATCAACCCGCCACCTAGGTCGATTTGAGACCACATCTTTTCATTACCGTGTTTCACCAGTCGCAACCACTTCCCAGTTGCCTGAACTGCCGTTACCGATCTGTCGACAACAGATCCACGCTTACATCGCTAACCTCGAGGAGCAGCAGATGACGCCGCCGCGGCCGCCACTTCGTAGAAAGCCTGGTCGACCGTCTCTTTTGTAAGAGATAGGTCGGCCCAAGCGGAAGGTAAGACCAAGGGTAGGTGTATCAATCTCAATCGGCAATAAGTATTGAGTTAACTAGTGCTTCATTGGCAATGATAATTGTGAGACGATCGATGATAGGGATACCAGTGTCTTTTAGGAATATGCATGCATACACTCTCAGGAGCCACGGGATTCAGCATAGCCAAATATATAGCAAGCAACTTCTAGAAATTATAACTATATGATGCTGTAAATCTCAAGACTTTTCGCGGCAATGGTGGCCTTTCTCTGCTTTATCAAGACATGTACGTTTTCCCACTTGCCCAAACGCCCAAAACACTATTTATGCAACAGTTTATTTCTTTCCGGCGCCTTGCTTCTTCAGTGCCTCGTGGTTTCGGCACCACTCATCCCAAGCCTTCTTCATGTCCAGCTGTACCGCGGAAGCACCCTTCTTGACGTCGCCCACCACGGCATCGACAGCCGCACGGTTTCCGTTGCTGGCGTGGAAGACGGTGGAAGCCGCAATCAGACAAGCCGGCAAAGCAGCCTTGGCATGCGCCTTGGTCTCGCCGGCCTTCAGTTCCTCATAGACGCCCTTGAGCACCTCAAGCGCTTCCTCCTTATCAATCTTTGCCGATTTGTTCGCTCCGGACCTCGCCTTGCGAAGGCGCTTCTGGTAGTCCTTGATCAGCTCAAAGCTGCGGTCCGCGAGCGTCTTAATCGTCGTGGTGCGAACCAGCTCCAACAAAGGTCTCAACACTGCAAGGGTAGTCGGGTTGCCCGCTTCGTTCTTGACAAAAATCTCGAGTAGGTCGAGGACGCGGCGCTTGAAGTTGACAACGGACTCCTTGGCAGCCTTACGCTCCTTCTTCTTGCTGGGTGCAGCCTTGGCCCGCTGTTTGAACACTTCGGCGAGCTTGTTGTCGAGCTCGAGCATGTCCGAGTCGCTCATGTCAGCGTCGTCGTCGGACGACTCAGCCTCCTTGTCCTTGTCGAGGCGGTGGCTGTTGAGAATCTTACCAAGGGCGTCGTCGAGGGCTTCCAGGTTCTTGGCTTCTTCATCGCCTTCGCCTTCATCCTCCGATCCAGACCCCTCTTCTTCCTCGTCCTCTTCCTCGCCGTCGTCCTCCGCATCGCCAGTATTGAGGGAAACGAATTCCACGTCCGAATCAACTTCAAAGTCGGAGCCAAATTCGTCCTCGTCATCGTCTTCCTCATCCTCGTCTTCATCCATGTCCTCTACGTCATCGTCGTCGTTGACGTCAAAGAGAGACTGCTGTCCCTTGGCGCTCTCGTCGGCCGCGAGGACGTCGAGGAGCAGGTCCAGGGCCTTTGGCGAGACACGGCTGCTAAAGTAGCCAAACACCCGCTGGGAGATCTCGCGCATGAGGGACGACTGCTGCGACACGAGGGCGAGAAGAATCTCCACCAGGAACTCCGCGGCTCCCTCTTCATCCTCTTGCAGACGCGCCTGGTATTCCTTGAGGTCGCTGAGGAGTTGGAACGCATCAGGTTCCTCGTTGTACAGCTGGAAAATGGCAATCGCGTGCAGCAAAGCCAAACCCTGCGCAATCTTAACCTCGTCCGGAGCACCCTCTCCAGCGGCAGCACCCTTCTTCATAAGCTTCTCCAGCCGCTTGCGCGCCTGGTTTACCTCCTTCTTCATATCTCCTTCCATGCGGATGTAGTCGGGGTTAATGGATTGCACCGCCGTACACAAGTAGTTGGAGTCTTCCGCCTTGCGTGACAGCTTTGCGAATGCAGACTGAAGACGGTTCCTGCTCAATTCCTGGACCATGGCGTTGGCATTCTCGGGAATCCATACGAGCTTAGCGTATGCGAGAGATGTCAGCTCCTGCAGTGCGGTTTCTGGGGCCGAAGTGGTGAGGCGGAAGATGTACTCGATGTACACACGCAAATCAAGCTTTACTGCATTGATGTCCTTGCTATGAGAAAAGTTAGTCATATACATGGAAGCAACAGGAAAGGGAAGATACGAACGCTGTGGTCGTCGTCTTCATGACAGGTCCGCTCACAACCTGAATAATATCCTCGCCGTTTTCAGGCTGCACATGCTGCAGAATCTTGTCGACCGTCTTGCTCTTGGTCATGACATCGAACCTGTACAGCCCATTATTGCTGATCAAGTTGTCAAGGATAATGCCAGTGGCCTCGGGGTGTGATGCGGATGCCTCCTCGATGGTCTTCAATGTCTTGAGAGCTGCGCGGTGTAGGAAACGGTCTTCTTGAGCAGCTTGGTTGATGAGGCAGGTCATTAGGTTCCGGCTGAAGAGGACATCAAGGAGTTCGTCGTTGTTGATGTAGGCTTGGAGCATCGTTTGGAACACCAGGAAGCCCCGGAACTTTTGGCCCTCTGTTGCTGCCTTTGCGAAGAAGTTGTCTTTCAAGACTCAGTTAGCACTCCAAGAACCCCAGTGAAACAAGTAAACTCACCATCAACAACACGCTTCCAAAACGTCCTGAACTCCTCCACATGTTCGCTTCCCAGTCTGGCAAAATGCGCAACAATGAGATCCCACACGAAATGCAGCTGTGGTGTCCAGTTGGCTTGCTTGTTCTTCCCTCCCCTGTGCTGCCGCTGCTGCTGCTGCTTCTCCTTCTCCGCCTGCTCCTCATTCGAGCTGCTTTCTTTCAGGATCGCCGCCAGCTCGCCCAGATTCCGCGAGGAAAGCGGGTGATGCTGCTGCTGGCTGGACTTGTCGTCGCTCCTCAAATCAGGGCACTGGTTAAGAGCAATCAGCCAGATGCCCACGCCTTCGGGAGTCTTGGCCCAGCCCAGCTCAACGAGCTGCTGCAGCACCATCTCGATGCGGCTGCGGTCCAGCTGCGCCAGTGCTTGTGCGACAACCCAGCCGCACTGCGGCCGCAGCCAGACCTTCTTGTTGCCCAATCTCACGAGGAGTCTGAGGATCTCGTTCCACCGCTCGGGGCCCTCTTCAGGGACGAACAGCACGCGCGCACGAACAAAACACTCCAGACCGAATAGCTGTCCAAAGTAGAGATCGCGCTCCTCCTGGCCTGGTATGTTTCCGCCGACGTGTGTCCTCTCCATCAACATGCCCAGCACTTTCTCGAAGGTGAGGCCGGGGTACTGCTTCTCGGCGAGATTCCGCGGTGGACTAAACAGTTGACTGAGGATCTCGGTCAAGACGAGACTATAGCCAAGGCGCGAAGCAGCGCGTCCGCTTGCAAGGCCTCTGAATAGACGCCAGTCGAGATGCCTTTCCAGAACCGCCTCAGGCACGCCCTCGCCGTCCAGCAGACTCGAGATAATGGCCCCCGCAGCCTCGATACGGTCGGTCTCGTTCTCGCTGCTGAGAAGGTCGTAAAGCTTCGCCTCGCGCACACGGTCTTTGCCGGTAGAGTTCTCGACAAAGAGCTTCTTCTCGAGGACGGCCTTGGGAAGGTTCGATCTGGCAACATTGGCGGCAGCGGGCGCATCGTCGGGGGTGCTGCTGTCAGTGGTCTTTGCGCGCTTGTGTGCTTGCTCGGCGGCCTTGAGGGCCTCTCTCTCGGCGCGCTTGCGCTTGGCGCTCGCCGTCTTCGTCATTGTGTTGTTGTGTGTTCGGTCTTCAGGGTCGCACAGTCTATTCAATGGAATGGGCACAATATTTTCTTTTTCCTTTTTGTTTTCTTTCCCCTTTCAATGCGTCGCCGTCCGTTTGAACCCAGCATAGCGCACTGATCTCCCAGGGTCCAAAAAGTTTGGCAGCAAAAAAGTTCTGCCTGCTTTGACCGCCCAGACTTCAATCCTCGCCCGTTACAGCATTTCCTTCCTCACCTCACCCACGCCCCGCCGCCTTTAGGTGGGGATCCCTGTAAGTAGACCCACTTCTATCCGGGGGACTGATCCACAGCTTAATTTCTTGGTGTTATATGTCTACTTTGATTGGACGCAAAGATTTGGCTTGAACCTAAGTATTTTGTTATCTCATCTCAAGAAGTCTCGATCGTCCGGTTTGCTACTTTCTGTCTGTGCTTGCTCGTCAAAAGGAAAAAAAAAAGTCTTTCAATCTAGTTAATCCCAGTTCAAGTGAAGCGAAGGCTTTTTACAACGTCCTCACAATGGTTGCTTCTCGTATTGTCCGGTGACGGAGTCTTCCACGCAACTGCCAATTTGCACCCGTTTGAAATGCTCTCGTCCTATCAAACACGCACCATTCTACACCGTTGGGCCGTCAGCCTGCATGGGGCTAAGCATGCATGCTGAACAACCTTGTCAGGCAGGCATCACACCATTGCTCTTTCTCGTTCTTCAGAGCCTGACTGATAGAGAGGCTGGCGGGGCGGAAACGAGGTCAGTCACTCACTAAGCACCCAGATGCCGGCAATACGAGGTGTTGGTATGGTTGTGGTGGTCAACAGCCCCCCCCCCCGTCGCTTATACCGTGCCACACCCTCCATTTGGCAGCTGTTCAGATTTGATGATAGCAAATTTCGTGTTTGGGCTCTCTTTCATGCGGTTTGCCCGCCAGTCGCTCCACAGCTCCCCTTGTATAGCAATCGTAATATTCTTGCCCCAACACTCTACCAGGGCTTTCTCCTTTCTCGGCTAAAGCTTACGTGGTAATCCTGGCCTTTCTGTGCCTGGCTTGCCTCGTTTGTCCAAATGCCATGTGGTGCCACGACGAACCCCTAAAAGATGCCGCATACGAGCCCTCTTGGACAGGGTAGAGTGCATGATAATTCAGAGCGCAACGTAATATATAGCCATATCTAAACCCCACTTGGCGTGAACCCCGTGTTCGTTGTTTGCCAAAGTTCCAACAAAATAAGACGAACGGCGGCTGCTATCAGCTTGTGACAACTTTTTCATTTCCTCCTGTCTGCTTCTTATCAATTGCTGCCTTGTACACTAATCCTCTAATCCCTCATCTCGACGTCCAGCAAGGCCTTTGGTGATCTCCAAGACACAAAATTGTGATCTTGACATATTCTCATCAGAAGACTAGGCGCATACGACATATACATAGGAAACTTTCAGTAATTTTCAGCCGGAAATAATTTTACAGACGGTACTCCACTTCGACTACCGTTCAGCTACTCGGCGTCCGACCAGATCTGAACCAATTCGACCATCTGATAGAGAAGAATTTGAGAGACGGCCGCATACTCTCCACATCGACAGGCTAGTCAAGAGGACTTTGGACCGTGGCCTCGTAATACATCTGTGGGCTGGACTCATACAAGATCCGCCGGAGGACATCCTCCAGACCTTATTTGCTCGGTCTAAGGACAATCCAAATACGTCTTCAACCATCTCTTGCTTTAGGTCCCTCGAGACCTTCACGCCATAATGCTCTTCCCGAAATCCCGCCGCAGGCCAGCTTGGCCACTCTTTCTCATCATAATTCCTTTCTTCCTTACTCTTCTCTACATCCGTCCCTCTTTAACTATCAGTTCGCTCTCCCATGCCAAAAACAAATCTCCGTCACGAAACGCAACCTCTCACCTGGCGTCCAAAGAAATGCAAGCATATTGGGCGGAGCTGCATTCCATGCTATCGCGAACAAACCCTTCCATCGAGCCGCTCACATCCTCCCGGGATCCGACACCCGAAGAACTCGACGCTGCCAAGAACACCAACTCTTCCCCGCGGCCAGACCTGATTACCATATCCGACAGTGACCTCTCGTCTCTGAAGTCCAAGCACTCGACCTTTGTAGCCTCTCTTAAAACTCTCGGTCCAAAGCTTCCCACTTGGAAAGGCACAACCGGTGTCGTCATGACCGCCGGAGGAGGGTACCTGGGAACCGCCGTAACCTCCATCCTGATGCTTCGCCGCTCTGGGTCGACCCTCCCTGTCCATCTATTCCTCGACACGCCCGACGAGTACGACCGCCAACTCTGCGAAGTCACTCTTCCGCAGCTGAACACAGAATGCCTCATCTTCACTTCAGTCCTTCGTCCCTCCGACGACGTAAAACACTACCAGTATAAAGTCCTCTCGATCCTTCTCTCACCCTTCGAGAAAGTCCTCTTACTCGACTCCGACGCCTGGCCAGTGACCTCGCCAGATCGCCTCTTTACCTCGGAGCCATTCACGTCTAACGGGTTGATCACATGGCCCGACTTCTGGCTGACAACGATATCCCCTCACTTTTACGCCATTGCCAACTTCACTGCTCCCCCGATCCTAAGGCGTCGCAGCTCCGAGTCCGGCATATTGTTGTACGATAAGAAAACCCACGCAGAGAGCTTGTTGCTGGCGACGTACTACAACTGGTATGGTCCGGGCTGCTTCTACCCGCTGCTCTCGCAACACGCGCCGGGAGAAGGCGACAAGGAGACGTTCGCGCAGGCGGCGCTCGCACTCTCGCAGCCGTTCTACGACGTCCGGACGCCCGATACCGTCCTCGGGAGGTGGATCAACGGCAGTTTCGAGACGGCGGGTATGAAACAGGCCGATCCGGCGGAAGACTACCGCCTCCAGTCACCCAATCTCTCCGGGGACCACGCCCAGGAACCGGCCGAGGAGAAGAAGGCAAAGCCCCTATTCATCCACCACAACCTCTTCAAGCTAGACATCTTCAAAGTCGGCGCCTCATCAGACCCCATGTTCCGCCTCAACGAAGAGGGGCGCCTCAGTCGCCTCTGGGGCCCCGACAAGAAGCTGGTGGAGAATAGCGGTTTCGACGTCGAGCGGGCAATGTGGGATGTGGTGTTGGCCGCGGATTGCGGCTCGACGTTCTACGAGGAGTGCGAGAACCTCAAACGCTGGTACCAGGCCGTCTTCGTCGATTCCCCGCCTTTGGTTGACGGTCTATGAACCGAACCTCTCTCGAGAGGGCTTGCTTCTTCTCTAGAGCATTTCTCGCGGCCATGTGAACATACCACCACCCACCCAAAGAGCTCACGCCCCCTTCCCACCCCCCCCCCCCCCCCCTATTTAACAAACCGACTTTGAAATATTAAAGAGCGGGAGCTAGAATAAGTTCTGACGCATTAGCAAATGCCAAGGGGGTTCCAGAGAAATATTTGAATTCTGTGTCAGAAAGACGTCTTAGCTCAGGAGAAAAAAACCCGCACCGCGCAGGAACTACCTTTTCGTCACTCTACCCCCTCCCCTCATTCTTCTTTCCTCCCTCCCCCCCCTTTTTTTTTTCTTTGTCTCTGCCGCCGCAGGTTGGAATGTTTGAAGTTTTAGCTCAGAGGCGCTTTACATTTCATACGTCAAAGGTCGATGGCTCTAGACCGCCACCAAAAAAAACCGCATCATCGTGGCGCCCAGCCCCCAAGGACGCTATTCCGTACCGCCTCGCCAAGATCCCTCACGAAACGGACAAAGGAGTCAGGAAAAGAGAAGTGAAGGAGAGAGTGTGTGAGAAGAGGGACGCACCCCCTTTCCCCCCTTCCCCCCCTGCGTTTTGAGGGCGAACGGTCGTCGGCTTGTGGCCGCCAACAACGGCCCGGAGGAATGCTACGGGAATTAAAAAGCCCGGTCTAAAAGGCCAAGGCCGGCGTCCGGTTCGGTCTGTAAGCCGCCGTGGCGGTTTCGCCCGATCTAGTCGCAAGGAGGCGGTCTTGGGGATATGGGGAGTAGGGGTAGGGAAGGGGGCGGGTCCCAGGAGGATTGAGGAGAACATCAGAGAGATGAAGAGAGAGGGAGAGAGAGAGAGAGAGAAAAGGAGGACCCTAAATTTTGACGCCGTTGCCCATCGAATATTTTCTCCTTGCTTCCTGAGGAGTGTCACGAAGCACTGCATAACTAGCTGGAAGGAGGGGAGGGGCGTGGTGGCGGTTTGTTCATCATCAAACATGGGCGAGGCCTACCTATCCCAAAGAACATAACCGAGTAGCGAGCGAGTCTCGGACTGCGTTGCGGGTTTGAGATAGTTTGAAGAATATTCGAACCAAGGCACTGGGTCCCCCGTTCAGGCAGTTGGGTTAATCCCGACATATTATGCTAAATAATTACCATATAATACTGTTGTTGTAACATGGCAGGGTACAAGCAGGAACGTGTATGAGTCTGCAAGAGAGAGTCAGATCAGACCCGCGGCAGCGGACGGACACCGAACATTGCGCAAGCAAAGAAGAGGCGTGTGAAATGCCGGAATATCAGAAGAGACGTACGGAGTATCCGTACGGTGGGGGGGGGGGGGGGGGATAATGAGTTTGGAAGCAAAAAGAAGGAGACGAAGAAGAAGAAGCAGCAGTATCTGTATCCGGTGCATCTGTACATCTGCGCATCTGTGCTTGTCCGGGCTGCCAACAGCAACCAACGATTTATTCTATTTTGCTTTTTTTATTTTGAGGATCCGCCGGTATCTGCTCACCGGGTGATATAGTGTTCGTTTCAGACGTCGGTGCGGGTTTCCCTGCTGCCGAACATCATAGGGTCGGATCTGTAGCAGAGAGCCACGGTCCATCTAGGTAGTATCTGTCTGCAAGCGCACACACGAAATACTACTACTACATACAACACACGCCCCCCCCCCCTCGTCCCCTCTCACTCAATTAAAGAGAAACTGTCGGATCAACCATGCATGTTTCGACCCAACTTTTCTCGGGATCTTCACTTCGTATCGTCGTAGCCTAATGCTGATGAGAGGGAGAAAACGCTCTCCCATGTCGCCTGGAAGGCTTCAAAGCTCGGGATTTTGCTGCGCCGCGCTTCAGAGAGAACGGGAACCTACCCCTTGTGGGAAGCGGGGAACCCAGTCGCCTCAGGCAAAGCAAAGGGTTGTTGCCCATTTCTTACCATACACAAGACAGACGTTTATGAAGGTAGGTAGCACTGGCATCCGTAGTAGCATCCGGATGGTGCACGCAATACAAGGCGAGGAGGCAAGGTAAGGCAAGCTAAGCTCCGCCATAGTCAGCACAAGAGCTCAGCCCAGCAACACCCAGCAGTTCCGGCAGGGGGGGAGGAGAAGGAGGGGCAGGCCCAGGTGACCAGCTAAACCCCTGAGCTGACATCAGAGTTTCCCCTCGCAGGAAGAGCAGTATCCATATGCTGTACCGACATTCTAAACCCTCGCAGCCTTGCGATCACTAAAACGGCATCATCATCAGCAGAGATTCAGCTGAGCTTCCGCCTGGATCCCATTCCTTGCTTTTATGCCGGGGGCGCGGGGGAGCGGGATCAATGATTTTGATGATGCAATGAAAGTCTGGAAAGGTTCGCGTATACGGGACCCGAGAATGGGGTGGGAATTGGAGGTTAGCGGCCGGCAATAAGCCGAGGTCGGCCGATGTGAGGGTCTCTTGCTTGCCTCATTCTCGTCCCTGGCTGGGCCTGGCGGCTGTGGGCAAATAGTGCTTGGCTCTGGCTCCTTACCAACCTACAAGTAAGGTACGCCAATTACAAGGAATAAAAATAAAGATAACAGGAAAGAACGTTTACGCCAGAGGTTGTTCTTGTGTATTTCCAGGGCACGTCCCCTGTCAGCAGCTGCCAAACGTCTGGATGACGGGCGGCTAAAAAAAAAAACGGTACGTCACTGATGGAAAGAGAACATCCTGGTTCGTCCCACAAAAGCCTCTCTTTAACAAAGCACACACCCCTCCTTCCATTTTGACAGGCCTTTCCCCGCCTGTGTAGTCACGTGATTTCGCGAGTCGACAAGGGGACAGAAACAGGGTCTGCAAGGGCCCATTGTTTACATGAGTCGCGTATCCGCAGTTTGTAAACAAAGTACAGTGCCAATATGACGCCTTTCCAAATTCCGCCAGAAAAAGGGTCAAATAGAATGGAGAGACGAAACGAGGAGGAAAAAAAAAAAAAACCGACTCCCCTCTTCTCGTCCCCCTCCATTGGGAAAAAGGGGAAGAGGGAATATACCAACGCTGCTGCTACTGGACTAAAGTGGCTTTTTTCCACCCGCGGTGCAACGCGCACTAGCGCCAGCACCCGCTAACTGCTTCACCATTGCTTCCCCTTTCCCACCAACGGTGGGCGTGACAAAGGAAAAAAAAATTGAATCGAATACCCATAATGGACGCCATTAATTGCAATTTTCCATTTTGCTTCGTTGCCTGTCCTAGTCGAGGGCTAGAGCGACCCTCAAACGCTCAACCGCAAAGAGGGTCAGACAGAGAGGCCTACCCAGAACAGAAACGACCTGCTTGCCGATGTGGTGTCCGCTCCGTGAGGCGCACAGTCAGAGACCTGCATGCCACTCATTTGATGCAAGCAAGGGGGCAAAAGTCGAAAAAAGAGGGGGAGCCGTAGATACAAAACCTCTGTGCGTGTTGAGGGAGTAGGATGACATGCCGAGAGCAAGAAAAGGGAAGAAAGAGAAAGAGAGAGACAGAGAGAAAGAGAGAGGGGCACGGAGATCGGGGAGGGAAGCCAAACGCCATCGCAGCTCGGTCACGCGGGATCGGTCGATGGCTTGAAGGTTGCTGCCCGGCCGGCCGACTAGAGCTGAAAGTTTGACTTGACAGACACGTCTCGACGCGGCTGAGCCATCTCATTGGATTGCATCTGACGACTGTCCATCTCCCGTGCAGGTAATCATCAGTAGTCTGCAGATGAGCTCATCCCTCCAAGGCAAGCACCGGAGACTATCACTGTAGCGCGCGGTATTCCGTATCGCACGCACAGTAAACAAACAACATCATGGAGCCCGGCGTCCAATCCAGTTTCTCGGTGTGCCCCCCTCTCTGACCGACGTCTTGCCGTACGAACGTACGGTGCGTTGCGTTGCGTTTTGGTGGTTCTTGTTTTGTATTGACAGCCCTCGGGTACGACGGCCAATTCTGCGACCATGGCACACGCACACCTCTGCGAGCTTGGTCTGGGCCACTGGCATGGTACTGATGCTTCAAAAATTTGTGGAAATGCTCCAGAAAAGGACGACGCGACCACATGACAGTGACAATCCAGCCGGGGGAAAGCATCTCGATACATTTGAGGAGCCGAGACCTTCCTTTCTGCCTTGCCTTGGACGGATGGGAGGGGGGAAAAAAATAGGGTCATGCGGTCTTGGGGGTCTTGGATAGCGACGATCACTTGCCAGGCACGAGACTCTGAGAGGATGACGTCTGTTTGTTGGAGACGGACTAGGCCGTCGCAAGTGATCGGGCTCCATGTGTGTAATCGAAGAATATCGCATCGAGATGCGAGTTCATCGCACCGCCCTCTACGTCGTTTGTCCACCACTGCCAAACTTTGTATTATTTTTCTTCTACGACAATACCTTGGTTTGGAGGGACTCACCCAACTTCCGGGTGAGACCGTGGTCTCCCCCATCATGGGAAGATGCTTGTATGCCATGTTTTTGTTGTGTGTGTGTGTGCGTGTGTGGACACGGTTCCTTCTCAAAAATTTTCCCTATCTCTCCCTCTTTTCGCGTTTGATCACTCAACAAGGGAGAAGCCAGCAATATCAAACACTACAACTAATATCGGGTAACCGTGTGGTTGTCGTCGAGCTTATGTCAATAAATCTCCGGGCCGCTTTGACAAGGAGCGCGGAATTAGGGTCTCGGTCGCCTCGTGGGCCTCTAAGCCTGGGATCGGGTGATATTCGAACCTTCGGATGGTTCAATCTCCATTTCACTGTTTGAAAGCATCTTCATTCAGCAACCAGGGGAGTTTAAAAGAGACAGTCCCACCGACGTGGTCTTTTTGACCCCTGGCTGGTGTGAGGTTCGTGCGATTGATATAGCAACGAGAAAGGAGTCATTTGGAAGAACCGGGGTGAGGTTTTCAATGGCGCCGGGTTGCCTTGAGGCCATTGCTAGGCATAGTCACCGGCTGAATCTGACTTTCATTCACAACAAGGTTAAGGGCGCAAGTCGATGTGGTCAAAGCCTGTTC